GTTTCACCTCAACTTCACTTCACCGTCCCTTGTCACCGCAGATACATAGCTAACTTTCGGCCCAGAGACCAAACATTCTCTCTCTAAAACAAATCTCGTCATCATGGCTCGTGGTCCACCCGCCATACTCACAACCATGACTTCAAATCCCTACCCCAAGCCCAAGGAGCATATCCCGCGTATGACTTACTGCGAGCTCTGCGACCGCACGCTGCCCACCAAGGACTGGCAAGCTCACAAGAACTCCAAGAAGCATCGTGAAGCCGAGGCCAAGGACCGTGGAGAGCTCGACGCTGTCAAGAACTCTACTGACTTTGGTGGCGATTCCATGGGTTTCGGTGACGACAACGAGTTTGGCAATGCCGCCGCTTCGGGTGATGGCGATTGGGGCGCTGGCGAAGGCTTCACTTCGACGACTAAATCTACTAGCTACAACAACCGCGCCGGTAGTGGCGGTGAGACTGGCCATCAGAAGCGCGACTGTCCCAAGGGTTCTGGCAGCCAAGCCTGTCACAACTGCGGCGAGACAGGGTACGTTGTTTTATAGTTTGTCGAAAAGTTCATGCTAACTTTAATCAGTCATCGCAAAGCCGACTGTCCTGAGCCTCCTAAGCCCAGGGGTGGCGGCGGTGGAGGCAGTGACCGTTTATGCTTCAACTGCAACCAGCCTGGGTACGTACTTATCTCTCCTCTTGATGGGATTGGCACCTCCTATGTCACTGTTACCCAGATCATCTGCTAACTCTTGCCCAGCCACAACAAGTCTGATTGCCCCGAGCCTCGCACCGGTGAAGGAGGCGGAGGCGGAGGCGGCGGCGGACGTGCATGTCACAACTGCGGCGAGGAAGGCCACATGTCCCGCGAATGTGACAAGCCTCGCGTTATGAAGTGCCGCAACTGTGACGAGGAGGGCCACGCTGCTCGTGACTGTACCAAGCCGCGCGATTGGACCCGAGTCAAGTGCCGCAACTGCAACAACTATGGTCATGGCGAGAAGCGCTGCCCTGAGCCTATTGTCGATACTGCCGATGGTGACTGGGGTAATGCTGCTACTACTACTACTGCTTCGAGTGGTAGGGCTAATGAATGGGCCAATGCTCCGGCGGCGACAGCGACGACAGCGACGACGGGCAACTGGGCTGATGACACCACTGTTGCTGCGGAGAACAACGACTGGGGCAATGCGACTGCTTCTACAATGTGGTAAATCGCTCCAGTATCCATGGTACTTGTTAGCGACGACCATTCAGCTTCGCTCAACATACGCATTTTCTTTGACGGCTATGGTTGTCATCGTACTAAAGGAAACAGGTGATGGATGGAGATGTACCCGAGGCTCAGCTAAGTTCGACATTGACGATCATACCAAGGTCGGAGTGGGGGAATAATTTGCGTGTGTCTACTCTTATTTGAAGCGTAGCAAGATCACGTATAGAGTAGGTAGTGGGCATATATCAACTACTTTTCAAGGGATTAATAAATGCAATGGCATGGTCAAACAGACAAGAACGAACATCTATATTCTAATAATGTGACACGAGATTTTTCTGGGCCCATCTCTATCCTAAGCAACACCCAATCGCAGACTGACAGCTCGTCGGTGAGCCTCCAACTCCTCGACACGTGCTAGCTCCATGACAGCAGGACCAACGTTTTCGAGACCCTGGCGGGTAAGGTGGGAGCTAGTGATGTGCTTGACGTAGGATGCAAGGTTGACACCCGAGTACTGCTTAGCGTAGCCGTACGTTGCTATTAAAAGATCAAATTAGCAACAATTTCGAAAAAAAAGGTTTCGGTAGAAAGAAAAAGAAAAGGGGCAGAGATATGCGGAACTTACGTAGAGAGTGGTTGACACCAGCAGAGTAGTCACCCACACTTTCCGGCGTCCATTCGCCAATAAAGACACTTCCTGCGTTCTCGACCATTTCGGCAACTTTTTCTGCGTTCTCGACTTGCAAAATAAGATGCTCAGGGGCGTACTGATTACTTAGCTGCATAGCTTCATCCATAGTGGCAACAGAGAGGGTAAAAGAGTGCTCGATAGCGCCGCGCACAATATCCACGCGCGGCAGAGCCGTGGCCTGCTTGTGCAGCTCATCTTCAATAGCAGTGAGCTGAGCGTCACTGAGCCCGACAGCGATCAGGATGACTTGAGAGTCGACGCCGTGCTCGGCCTGGCTGAGGAGATCTGAAGCAACGAAAGCTGGGTTTGCCGACGCATCGGCGACGACGAGGACCTCGCTTGGTCCTGCGGGCATGTCTATGCTGACGCCAGCGTTTGTGTCGTTAGAGACGTGCATTTTGGCAGCTGTAACGAACTGGTTGCCAGGACCGAGGATCTTGTCTACCTTTGTCACGCTCTCGGTGCCGTACGCCATTGCTGCTACGGCTTGCGCACCGCCAGCGAGAACAATGGATTCTGCGCCGACCTTGTGCGCGACGTAGACAACTTCGGGAGTCACTTTACCATTTGACCGTGGTGGGGTGGCGAGAACGATTTTCTTGCAGCCAGCTACCATGGCGGGTACGCCCAACATGAGCGCTGTAGATGGAAGCACAGCAGTGCCGCCAGGTACGTACAGGCCTACTCTCTCAATAGGTCGTGCAAACCGAGAACATACAATGCCCGGCATGGTTTCGACTCGCAGAGGCTTGTCTTCCTTTTGAGCAGCATGGAACTTTCTGATGTTTTCAAAAGACACATCAATGGCTTTGGCCGTCTCTGGTGCCAGCTGCATGAGCTCGGGAGGGAACGGCGCCTTGAGCACGGGCGAAGTTAGTGATGTTGCCTTTTCGAATTTGTGCGTGTACTCTAGTAAAGCAGCATCGCCACGGGTCTTGACAGCTTCGATAATGGGTCGGCAGATGCTCAGAATCTTGTCGGTTGAACGTTGAGATGGGCGTTGCAGCGCAGCAGCAATAGTCTCTGGGGTTTCGTTGGCAGTAACGTAGCGCTTCATGGCGATGCGACCGTCCTTTGTACCAGCCGGGTCGTCTTTACTCTTAGGCACTGAAGCAGCTTCCTTGACAATCTCTTTGGTGGTTGAGTCGTTTGACGCGCCATTTGTTGCTGCTTGCGCGGCAAAGGCTGGCTTTGCGTCGCCTTGCCGCCTCTTGACTTTGATGCTCTTAGCATCGAGGTTGCGCTCAACGTCTTCCAACGATACACCAGCAGCAATGCATTTGGTCAGGGCAAAGTAGAAGAGATCGGCAGCCTCGAATGCGACTTCTTCCTTGGTGTTTGCATCGCAGAGCTCGGTGGCTTCCTCGAGTATCTTGGCCCTCAACAACTGTGCGTCATTGAACAGGCGGGCAGTATATGAGCCTTCCGGGGCCGACTCCTTACGGCTTTGCAGCGTCTTCTGCAGCTTGGACAGGCCGTTGTAGTCGCCGAAGCAAGTGGGTGTCGCAAGATGGCAGAAGCCCCGACCCTTTTGGCGAACGACAAACTGCAAGCAATCACTGTCGCAATCCAACGACAACGACACGAGCTCTTGAACGTCACCGCTGCTCTCGCCCTTGTACCACAGACCCCGCTTTCGACTCTGGTATACGCCCCGGCCAGTCTTCAGACTCTCAGCTACACTCTCTTCACTGCTGTACACAAGTCCAAGGGCGACACCCCGCTCGTCGGTCACTAGAGTGGTGAACAGGCCATCGGGGCGGTCGCTTGTCGCATTGGCCATGAGTAGCTTAGCGACGCTCAATGCGGCAGTCTGTTTCGCGGGATCGACGGTAAGCTTCTCGGTGGCCACGATGGGTACGGCAGGCATGTTTGCGAGCGCAAGCACCTTCTCGGTGTCTGGGTTTGCGAACGAGACGAAAGCGCTCGTCTTGCCGCCATTGAGCGCCGCCTGCACTTGATCAACATTTTCAACCTGTTCCAAGTAGACAGTGGTCTGCGCATTCAAATCGCCATCTGAAGTAGTGTTTCCAGGCAAACATAGGACTGTCCTGTTCTGGTCGATTTTCAAGGCCTTGAGCTGGTCCAACTGCTGTCGAGTGACAAAGACGTTTGCGGCGCCGGCATCGAGGATGGAAACAACATCGTCAATGGATGTGAGCGAGGATACATGGACATAGTTGGCGAAGCGGCCCACCGACTGCTTTAGGTGGGAGAGGGCATTGTCGATGCTGTCATCGGTGACTCGGAAGAAGACATTTCCAACAAAAGACAGGGCCTGGACATCAAGGCCCTGGGTCTGTTGCTTGTACGTGGCCAGGTCAATGGCAGCAACCAGAGCGGGCGCCATGTCGAGCAATATTTCTGCAATTGGTACTTTGAATGCGCGCGCAATTGTAGCAGCAGCAGCAACGGAGTCAGTCGGGCATGAGTCGACTGCTGGAAAAAAGTCTAGGTGTACTAGACTAGCTGACCCGAAATGGATGAGCCGCGGGGTTGAGTCCGATGTGCCCCGCCATTGTCCATGACGCCACTCGAGGCAGAAGCAGCAGCAGCAGCAGTGTTTGCCCGTATTGTATTCAATGCTGACATGATCAATTTTTATTACAAGCTATAGCCTTCCTACTAATACGTCCGAGATAACGGACGAATGGACATATTAACCGTAGAGCTGCTACATGTATGCAACCAATCTAGATGACAAATCACAAGAGCCAAGCCAAGTCGACAAAGTATCCTACCAAAACATCTTGATCCAAAGAGGGGCAGTCCTAGTAGACGACGTACATGATAGGGCACAAGTGTTATCGTTAATGTCTTGCTAAGCTCTATATACCGTATTGAACATGTGTGACTTCGGAAGAGACGGCTCCCGTCTGACTGCATGTGTGCTGACGTGTGCACTCTGTTTTTCGGTTAACCGATGAAGCCGGAGAGAAAATCATCCAGATCCGACAGTATGAAGCCCGCTTGGAGTCTGTATTCCTGCTGCAACACTGCTGGTAGTATCGTCTTTAGCATTAATTTGGGCATAGTAAATTCATAGCTGGCTTGCTTATTGAATTCTTTTTTTTAAAACAATGTTGTTGTTGTGGTGGTGCTGGTGTTTCGTAGTAAAGGTGGCTCGTTTGGATAGGCTAGCCTAGGTTCTCCAGTTTTACTACCGGCCGACCGAGAGAGGCTGTCACAAGTACCCTGCAGGCATATGCAGCATGCTATATGTGTATGTACAAGCCGGGGCATCTCACCTTGTCCTCAAATACCCAGAAATGCCTCTCCAGAATCTGCCAAACTGATTCCATTCCTCATCACAAAAATGTCTTACTCTCCACCAGACTCGGCCAAGCCATTTACGCTCAACATCTCCGACCAGGACCTATCCGAGTGGAGACAGCTTCTGCAGCTCTCCAAGCTTCCGCCAGACACATGGGAGGGGCGGCAAGAAGACCGTCGCTTTGGGGTATCACGCAAGTGGCTTTCCGAGGCAAAGGATTACTGGCTTAACCAATATGACTGGCGTGCTGCAGAAAAGCACATCAACTCTTTCCCAAACTATAAGATGCAGATTGAAAATGTCGACTTGCATTTTATCGGTCTCTTTTCTGAGAAGAAAGATGCAATTCCTCTGATACTCATGCATGGATGGCCTGGCAGCTTCATCGAGTTCCTGCCCATACTCAGCATCGTCAGAGAAAAGTATTCGACCAAGGATTTGCCTTACCATCTCGTCGTGCCCTCATTGCCCGGCTACACTCTCAGCACCATACCAGCTCGCGATAAGCAGTGGGACCTTGAGGATTCCAGTCGTGTTATGAATCAGCTCATGCTGAATCTGGGGTTTGACAAATATCTTTGTCAGGGAGGAGACGTGGGCAGTTTCACGGCGCAAGTCATGGCTAGAGAACATGAGGCCTGCGTTGGAATACACCGTAAGTGGTAGCCCAAGCATTCGCTGCTGAAGTACTCACATGATCAGTGAACATGATCACTACTCTTGCCACCCCGGACGAGACAACGGTCATGAATGCAGCAGAGCGAGAGACGCTTGCCCGTTTCCAGAAGTGGAGCGCCACTGGCATAGCTTATGCTCTCGAACACGGCACAAGGCCGAGCACCATTGGGAGCGTTCTGGCGTCGAATCCACTGGCGATGTTGGCATGGTGTGTGTTTGTGGATTCAGGTACATGTACGCAAACTGACATTTGGCAGGATCGGCGAGAAGATGCTGGAATGGTCAGATGAAGATCCATCGCTCGATGACATTCTAACCAACATTTCCTTGTACTGGTTTACGGGTTGCTTCCCCTCGTGCCTTGGTGTTTACCGCCAGCTTTTTGGCAGTACGACCATGGTGAAATGGGGGTTGACTGAGAAGCCCTTGGGGTATTCATTCTTCCAACACGAGATCGTTGTGGCGGTCAAGAGCATCTTGGAAAGGGATAGCAATCTAGTCTTCTACAAGCACCACGAACGGGGCGGGCACTTTGCGGCTCTGGAGCGGCCGGCAGATCTGTGGGAGGACATTGAGGGGTTTGTTAGTAAGGTCTGGAAGGTATGAGAGGGTCGAGGTGCATGTCACCGCATGGCGGCAAGGTGCACCGGCTGACTCGTCGAAGGATTGTCGCGCATTGCCGAAATTGTAGCCAGTCGGCAATTGTCTTGTACATGGGCCAGGCGGTGCATAGGGGGAGGATGGCGTGGAAGTGCATTGGGTACTAAAAGTAGGTTAGGGTACCTGCCACAAGGAGCTAGCCCCGTCGTGGTTAAGTGAACGCCACAGTAGATGCAACTATTCGCTGTGCCGCATCGATAGAGTTTGACATATCTCATTGTATCGGGATTTGCAAGTGACCATGGCCATTCCACATGGCGAGTGGAAAAACCCGCGTTGGTGGTGGCAGCTAGTGTTTTGTTAAGCTACAGTGTATAGTATCTACTATGTACAAGGGTACTGCTGGGCCAAGCGGATCGTGTCCGCATCCGCATCCCGGCTGGATAGACGCCGAAGCATGACGCAACGTGCATTGCTCGCCCCCACCCTTCCTCCTCTTCTCCTCCCCGCCATTCTCCGCACTGTTCGCTTGTGTCTGTGTTTCTTTTTTTTTCTTCCTGGCAACTGCGCCGACCGACTCCGCTTTTGCAGAGCAAAGTATGTACGTGCTCAGTGTGTACTACATTACACTACACTACACTACACCACACTACACCTGCCATGGTCCAACGGGCTTGTGTCGGTGCTGGGCCCGAAAACTGTTGCTCTAATCGCATGAGTCGGCCCACGGACTAGCATGACTCCAGCCTCTGGCCAAGCTACCGTACGTAGTACCACGACTACATGCAGACTACTTACACACATGTCGTTGCCTCCGCCAGGGCTCGCTTGGCTGGCCCTGCTCAAAGTCCAGTCAAGTACGGTACGCATTGGGGCGCAATTTCTTCAGAAACCGAGCCACATAGTGAATTACCCCCCCCCCCAAAAAAAAAGGCCCGTCACCGAGTTGGTATCAAACCTCGCACCAGAGCAGAAGTTGCCACTAGAGCAGCATCGCAGTCCATAGTACCTGCATAGCTGTATTTACAAGACATCCATCCTATCGGCCCAGTTCGCCATTGTGGGTCCTGGGCCACACCTAGCTCATTACGCAGTCAATATGCGGCCTGCAACACGAGTTCCCCAGCTTCCAGGTCCTGTCCTGTCCTGTCCTGCATGTGCATGTGCATGTGCAGGTTCCGATAAGTGTTGACGTTGTTTTTAGCCGCCTCGCCAACCTGATGCCACCCACACCCTACCTATGTCCCTGCATCCGTCCCGATCCAAACTAGGCTCCGGCGTTGGCCCTGCACTTTTATCCTGCCGCTAGCAATCTGCCGTGCATGCCACCCAGCTTCGGACGGTGATAAAAGACGAGCTCCGGCCCAGCACTTAATGTCGACGCAGTAGAGACATTCTTCATCACTCATCTCTCAACATGAAGCTCCAACACTCCCTCAAGGCCACACTACTTGGCGCTTCACCAGCTCTCGCATATCCCCAAGCGAGAGCTGCTGGTGACTTCAACTCAAAATGTGCCGATCTAGCCGCCAGCCTTGAGGTTGAAGGTGGTGTCGTTACCACTGCCGAGTTCGTCGCTGCTGGTACCAACTTTACCATACCTGTTTACGACCCAACATGTGGCGACCAAGGAGCAAGTCAAACCATTGGAGCCGACCTGTGCCGCGTTGCACTCTACGTTTCCACTTCTGAGCGATCAGGATTCAACATGGAAGCCTGGCTGCCATCCAACTGGACAGGCCGGTTCGTCGCCCATGGTAACGGCGGTCTGAATGGATGCATCAGTTATAGAGACTTGGCCTACACATCCCAGCTAGGTTTCGCCGCCATTGGAACCAACAATGGCCACAACGGAACGAGCGGCTTGCCCTTCTACAACAACCCAGATGTTGTAGAAGACTTTGCCTACCGATCGTAAGTCACATTCCTCACAAACTCCAGCATCCAAGCTAAATACCCCAGTCTACGCAATGGCGCTACCGTCGGCAAGCAAATCGTTGGCGACTTTTACGGCAAACCACATGACAAGTCCTACTATCTTGGATGTTCAACTGGTGGACGACAAGGCTTCAAGATGGCCCAAGATTTTGCAGATGAATGGGATGGCATCCTTGCCGGAGCGCCCGCATTCTCCTTCAACAACCTTACTTCGTGGTCCGGTCACTTCTACACGCTCACTGGTCCACGCGGCTCCCCGACTTGGGTCTCGGAGGCAAAGTGGGCGCAGGTTCATGCTGACGTCTTGGCCCAATGTGACAAGATCGACAATCTCCAAGACGGTATTCTAGAAGATCCGTTGCTTTGCAAGTATGATCCCTCGGGTCTGGCTTGCGACGAAGGCAAAAACTCCACCACCTGTCTGACGGCTGATGAGCTCGCCACGGTGACTGCTGTTTACTCGCCACTCACCAACGACCAAGGCGATTTGGTTTACCCGCGCTTGCAGCCTGGAGCCGAGATCCTCGCCTCTTTTGTGCTCTTTGGCGGAAACCCTTTCCCTTACACTACTGATTGGTTCCGCTATGCTCTCTACAACGACCCCACTTGGGACCCTGCCACATTGGACTCTGATGACTACAACAATGCTGCAAGAATCAACCCTTTTGGTATCGAGACATTCAAGGGCGATCTTAGCAACGCACAGAAGAGTGGTACCAAGATCCTACACTGGCACGGCACCAGCGACTTCATCATCTCTAGTGATAACAGCGCGAGGTACTACAACCATGTCAGCTCTACCATGGGCCTGCCACCCAAAAAGCTCGATGAATTTTACCGTTACTTCCATGTCAGTGGCACCGGCCACTGCAGTGGTGGAGATGGTGCCCATGCCATTGGCCAACAACTCGGCGAAATCAATGGCTACGACCCCGAACACAACGTTCTCATGGCCTTGGTACAGTGGGTAGAAAAGGGCAAAGCACCCGAAACCCTCATCGGTACAAAATTCGTCAATGACACAGCCTCTCTCGGCGTCGATTTTGAGCGCGCGCATTGCAAGTTCCCCAAGAGCAACCAATACAAGGGCAAGGGAGACCCCAAGCTCGCCAAGAACTGGAAGTGCGTTGACCTCAGGAGGTTTAACTAATGCCTAGATACTGTGCCGGGAAAAGAGCTATAGATATACAGAATTTCTGTTACATGATGAAAGCCATCAGCCCAGTAATCTTTAATGAAAAGTTTCTCTCTTTTTTCTTTTCAGATATTTGGCAAACATGTTTTGTTTGATGTTGAAGGAATAAGGTCCTGACATACTACGGACCGCACCGCTTACTAGCGGGTCCCGAGCCTGCTCTCTCAGCTGCACGTTGTCGTTCGGCCGCAGCCTGACGAGATGGGTGTTCCAGGGTACCTGTCATGTGTTATGTAGCATAAGCCGAGGTCCATCGAACTATTACAACACAGTACTACTGGTTTGAAAGCAGAAGGCGCAGGAATTTGAACACGCCCGCGGAAACATTCAAGGGCTGAAAAAAAGTTTGCATTATCGGCGTTTATTAGAGTAGGCCGGGACGATTGCATGGATTACTATAGGAACGGCGGTATTATCGGCATGGGTCAAGGTTTCTCGACTGTCTCTGTCGGGCCCAAATACCTATTCTGTCCATTCCCGATCTCCGTCCGTGCAACTGGAGCCAAAATTTCAGGAGCTTCTACCACTTTGTTTCGCGGGCAAATGTTGTTTCACGCAAGTGACATGATGCCCGCCTATCTCTGAGTAAATCCTACGCCTTGCATATCAGCTAATGATTGAGGGCCAACCCGGCGACTTGTAAACAAAGCCAAAGACCACTATGCACGCTTTCCCAGGCATCACTGCAAGGGCAAGCAACGTGGCAAATCTGCTTATGGACACATTATCCTGCAGTTACAGGGTTTCCCGGATCATCGGATAGTGTCCAAACAGGCCCTACTACGCATAAGTTTTTACCCCGCAAACAGTTCGCGGCGCCATGGCGGAGATGAGGAATTCCAAGCGATTAGTACCCTGGGCCCTCCGGTATCAGGCGCCAGGATTAAAGGAAGAAAAAAGCTGGAGCGTGGCTTATACACAAGAAAAGGTCGCAGCTCAATAGGTATAAAACGGGCTCATCGCGCGTCTAAGCCCATTCAGCGGTACAACAGTTTATTACTACCTTCCCAAACCCCATCACTTTCCTTTCCCCCCCAGATCCCGATAGTCTGGTCCAAACCATCCAAAAAAAATCATATTCTGTATACGCTCTTATTGAGTAATCATGCGCTTCACGATCCCCATCGCTCTTCTTGCGTCCGTATCGGCAGCACTACCTGCCCCCGCCGCAACATCTTCGGGCGAATCCACCCCGCCGGCAGCGGCCCCAGCATCCACCATCCTCAAGGCCCTAGCCGGCACCTACGCCCTCGTCAACACCTCCAGCACCCTAAACAATGAACCCATCCCCGACGCCACCTACGGCACCGCCCCCGTCGGCAACCTCATCTACACAGCCTCTGGCTTCATGAGCGCCACCATCACCGCTACGGAAAAAGAATTCCGACCACCAGTCTCGTTTCCCTTCCGCGCCAACGAGACCGACGCCGATTGGGCGTTGGTGGGCAAGCACAGCATTGGGTATTCGGGCCCGTTCAGGATTAATACGGAGCTCCCCGCGACGGAGACCGATGGACAGTTGTTCCATGGGCCGTTGACGGTCGCGAATGTGCCGACCATGGTGGGGCAGGAGCATAGGAGGAATTATACGGTTGTGGAGCGTGAGGAGGAGGGCAAGGTGGTCAAGTATTTGAAGATTGGGAGTGAGAGGGGAGGTGGATTCCGTGGTGTGCTTTGGTGGAGGCGATTGGATTAGACAAGATGTGTTGTTGTGGGGTTTAACAGTCTTTTTTTTGTAGCGCCTTTTGCTTTTGCTCTTTTTCTTTCTCTTTCAAACTGTATATGTATGCGTGGTAAAGCGATTGGGCTTTAGAGGCATAGAGACGGTGTTTTCGTCTATCATGGAACTCGATGTTATGAAATGAAATGCACGTCATCACCTTCATGTTTCGTTTCCTTTTGAGTGCGCGGTTTCTTTTTCGTTTTCTTTTCTTTGGCCTCTCTTTCTTCTCGGGGTCGGTTTTTCTCGGACATGGATGCGAATAGCCGCGCCTACATGGTTCTCCTGGCTAGTAGACTTAGGTGCTGCAATCCCCGTCTTATACCACATCCATGGTATATCTTACTAAACTATTGTTTTTCTTTTTTTGTAAAACCAAGAACCTAATGCACTCATTTCCGACATGACTTTGCATGCATAGCATTTTTTTTCTTAACTACTTATCTTGGACGCCGAGCAAGTGGCTGAGGACATTATACTACATCTAGTCGTGTAGAGCTAGCTGCCTTGTTTAAATATGAAGCGTACTCAACAGATATTTTTCTCTCCGTTTATTGACAGCGTCGGAGTGGAAGGCTGCATTTGGCTGTTATGTGGCAGTGCGTGTTATATCCTGCTGACATAGACTTGATTGTGGAGATTAAAGAGGAAGAAGTGATGAAGTGGTGGTGTCGATAATAGTGGTAGTAGCTACGCTTTGACCAATATTCAACCTGTTTCAGACTCGTTTTACGTCCTATAATTACTACTTTCTAATTGCCCTCGTGTTCATCAATGTGCAACGGTATTGCTCAACGCGATAAATGCTTGATTCGTAGGGAAGTCGCATGTTATTCAGTAGAGTCTATGAGGCAGTGACGTGTGCACGGTTAGCTTGTTTGAGGTTGTGTTTGTGCGTGGATAGTTGATTGCGCGATTCTGAGTCGTGTGGGCTGGATAAAGATTCTGGCGTAATATTCCTTGAGGAGTCGTATGAGGTAAGGTATTTGTTTGATGTGAGGAGCAGAGCGGGCAATATTTAAATCTGCTAATCCAGGGCCAAGATTGGTTTTGTTAATTGCCGAAACCCCTCAGATTTGGTTTGTTGATTTGAATTAAGTTGATCAAGAATAACTACGTCTTATGAAACATTGATTGTCGCCCAGTGTGTAGGCCTGATGGCTTACTATGAATAATGAGTACATCAGAACTCGGTATTAAAAAAACGGCTAGCCTCACGTGTTTTGATATTCCATGATCCAGGTAATTGATTATCTGTATAAAAGTATCATGTAATTTTGAAAGTCACCAAGTTTGACCCAGCTTCAAAACGGTGAATATTGGAAATCCGGAGGGCTGTCGTGTCTTGATTCTACAGGCGCTCCTAGACAAGTTATCACACAGGTGGATACTGCTTGCTGAGCCTAATTTGTACCCCTCTTTTTTCTAAGCTAGTTGAGATAAGCTTAGCCTATAAAGTTATCTTACATACGCCTGAATTGCTTGCTTTATACAGAATAGCGATCCAATCCAAAGATCATCTGAGCTATTTTTGTCAGGGGCTGTTTTCCTCCACAATAGTTCCATGCATCTCCTTTCCAGGAATTCCATTTTGGAAATGACCAATCTAGTTATTTAGGAACGGCATCCAATATGTCGTGAAACATGGATTTTTTAATACTTAACTATGTTAAAGTAAAAATCTGGAATTAAACCTGATCTTTAGCAGATTTGGCTGATTACGACTCTACCTCCTGATTACAATCAACAAAGTCATCAAGACATGATAATTTTTTGTAGCTCTGACGGTGACAATTCTCTATAAAACTCGAGGTCAGTACCGGATTACGACGTAGGACTGCTGCTCAGCGTAGCAGTGATACCATCATTCTCCTGTCCTTATTGGCCATAATTGTAACTCAGTGTCTACATGGAATCAGTTGATTGTAAAAGTTGCCTCTGACAAAACGCTATTGACAACCAAACCGGCACAGATTGTCCTGTCGGTGCACTTAGTGGCCTCGGTACTGTCTGATTTGGAGAAGTTGGCGTCGGCCTTCGTTGACCTCCAGTGCCTAAGCAAAGAACTTCTTCTATCTAGGACAGAGATTACTCACATCGCAAAGAAGAGAGAGTTTGAAATCCAAGAAGACGAAAAACAAGGTAGAGGAAACCATGAGACGACTTCTGTATCATAGACATGTCTTATCTGTTTGCATCAACAGTCCCCACCAAGCGTTACTGTACTGTTGCTCATGAGATAGATCGTATTGGTGATTGTGAATACTAGCCAGGCGAGAACATGTTTTTCAGAAAGCACATCGCTCGCAGATACGGGGTCTTTCGCTACCCCCTGATGCCAAACTCGCAAAGACGACAAACATACAGCTGAAATGACGACGCCTCATTCTGGACTCATGAATCTACAATAACATCCATTATTAGCCTATTCCATGAAAATCTTTCTCTAAAACATCATCCTGTCACGCGACAATTTCTCCCATGTGACAAATATATCATGATATACGCGAAGATCTATGGTCAGAGTGATGGGCAGAGCCAGTGATCGTCTAGGGATGACGGTCGTATACCGAGATTCTAGACACCACCGGTCCTTTGGACCCATGAAAGCACCGGTGGCGTTACTTCATGACACAAGATATGAGCGATTACTGGTTACGGATTTAGGCTCACGTCGGGTTGTCGGGCTCACCATGTGGGGGATACCCGGGATGAGCTTGGAGTAAGTTCCCTGCTCCCGTGCCTGCAGGCCTACCATATTGTCGGGCTGCAATCGCGCCCATTCAAGACCACGTCAGGCGACTACAGCGCATCTAGAATTGATGTTGGGATGTGCTTACGATAGATATGATGTCCCTGAACATGACCAGTCGCCGAAGTATTGCCAGACTGACCACTAATATTCACGAATGTGCTTGGGCTGAAAAATCTCTTGCTCTTAAAGATCGAAAAGAAATGCGAAATAATGGCGCAAAAAAAGTGATGGGGCGAGAACGAATGGGATTCAATGAACAAACAGCCATTAACATGAATCACACAGAGTCAAGTCCACCAAACTTCCAGTCCACTGGTAGTATTCTAGATGATGAGTCACTTTTCCATGGACTAGTCTACCCATAGCTGATCGAAGATGAATTGAATCGTCATGTGGCACTGCTTCTGAGGGTGTACTGTAGTAGTGCCGTACACAGATACCTTTCTCTCTTTCATGGATACGAGAGCTGTTGTCTTGAGGTATCTTCTATAGCACCGAGCATCTGTCCCTAAAGCATGAAATAGCTGAATCAGGAGCAATCGTGTTCAACTTTTGTAACCCACAACTAACCTTACAGTGAAGAGCTAAGTCATCCGCCAGCTCTACTAATAGAGAGTTACCAAGTCCCCGGTATTCTTCTCTATATCTTCACCCCGCGGAAAAAGTCTCGCTAGCTGCCTACTGGTAGTTCAAGTGCGGCTGAAATAGGAAGAGGTGGGTACAACAAGCATCCTACCAAGCGCCAACACCGCCTTCCGAGATGTCGCAATTCTTGGCGTCAATTGCGTTCATGATACTATTCATCCTCACCAAAACCAAGCCGATGCTAAGACATGCCACATCCTCGGCGCCGCACTCACGGTTCGCAGTTGAATTTTGAACCATCTGGCAGACGACACAGATAGGTAGCAGTTTCCAGAAGCAAAAGGGAAATACTCAGGGTCAAAAACAAAGGTCCAGCGGTACCGGAGGTAGGCACCATCAGCGGAGCCAACCAGCTATCCCAGTTCCCCCACGCCGCCCCGTCGGCGCCCCAAAAGCCACATTTGTCTTCTTACTGAAGGCCAGACCTTGCAAAACTCTGCTCTGTAGTCGGCCCAGCTTTTCCAAGGCCTGGCCTTTAGTCTGCCAATACGTACCATCTCGCTCAGCGCAAGCACGCCATGTGCGGGCGCTCTGGGGTGATGACGATGCTGCGCTGTGATTTGCGCGGAGCGACACCAGTGACACTCTTGCGCATGCCAAGTTGGGTTTGCCGTCTTGATGTACGCCCCTCCCACAAGGCTATCTCCAAATAAGGCACGTGTAATTCCGCCTCCGCCTAGGGTTTGTGTCGATACGGTGCTTCATCGGCATCAGCTCCCGGAGAACTCACAATCTTTGTCCCTGCCAGCAGCTCATAAATTTCATATAAGCTTGCATTCGTCTCGTATTAGAAGTCAGAAGCACTCCCCCAGGAATCCCTCCAGGCCCTTCGACTCGGGTTCTATTTCGGGACTTCCCCTACTATCACGACAGAGCTTTGGTGGTCGCCAAGTGACTTGCTCGAGAGAGTTTCGACTCGTCGTTTATAACCAAGCCTTTCCTGAGTTCTGCTTACTCCCATCGTTCACGCGGCATCATGGCAACGGCTGGTCGCACAGCTGCCAAGGTGCTTGGAATCAATCTTGACTACCGGAAAGAGCCCGAAGTTTCTGGCGCAGCATCTATCTCGTCTGTCGAGACATGTGAGCATGGGGGATCCCTATCAAAGTAGCTTACAGCTAATCAACGGTAGACGTTGAGTACGAACCAACCGCAATAGAATGGCTTTCCCAATTCAAGCCGTCCGCAAGTGGCATCAAGCGCTATCTTAGAAGTCTCTTTCCGTTTCTGGACTGGATCTTTCACTACAACTTGACATGGCTTTTTGGCGATGTTGTTGCCGGTGTTACTGTTGGGTTCGTCGTTATTCCTCAGGGTATGGCCTACGCTCTGTTGGCAAAGCTACCACCGGAGTACGGTCTCTACACCAGTTTCGTCGGTTTTATTCTCTACTGGGCTTTCGCTACTTCCAAAGACATCACAATCGGTACTGTGGCCGTGATGAGCACAATCGTCGGTAATATCGTGACCAAAATCCAGGAAAAGGATCCAGGAATTGATGCTGTGGACATTGCCAGAGCACTTTCCGTTATTGCCGGTTCGGTTTTGCTCTTCCTTGGACTGACTAGGCTTGGACGAATCGTGGAACTTATCCCATTAGTTGCTATCACATCTTTCATGACAGGCGCCGCCATCTCTATTGGAGCTGGCCAAGTGCCTGCAATGATGGGTATTTCTGGTGTCAACACCCGTGGAGCTACGTACCGTGTGATCATCGACACTCTCAAGGGCCTGGGTCGCACAAAGCTCGATGCTGCCATGGGCCTCAGTGCCCTTGTGATGCTGTATTCGATTCGCTTTGTCTGCAACTTTATGTCGAGGAAGCAGCCATCAAAGCAAAAGCTTTGGTTCTTTGTAAGTATTACAATTTTGACACAAAGATAGGATATTAACTCGTCCACTAGTTGAGCACACTGCGCATGGCTTTTGTCATATTGCTCTATATCATGATTAGCTGGCTTGCCAACAAGGACATCAAGGGTGTCCACAAGAACGTCAAGCTGGCCAAATTCAAGATTTTGGGCCGTGTCCCTCGCGGTTTCCAGCACGCTGGTGCTCCCAAGATGGACCAGAAGATTCTCTCAGCCATTGCTTCGGATATCCCAGTCACCATCATTGTCTTGATCCTCGAACACATTGCCATCTCAAAATCATTCGGTCGCATCAACAACTATGTCATTAACCGTAAGTAGCGTCCTTACGCTTTTGTCATTGGGATGAAACTGACGTTCCTCTGCAGCATCGCAAGAACTCGTCGCTGTCGGTTTTACCAATGTCCTTGGTCCATTCTTGGGCGCGTACCCTGCTACAGGTTCGTTCTCTCGTACCGCCATCAAGTCGAAAGCCGGTGTTCGTACCCCACTGGCTGGTATCTTTACCGCGATCATTGTCCTCCTGGCGCTGTATGCTTTGACAGCTATGTTTTTCTATATTCCCTCCGCTACACTAGCAGCCATCATCATTCACGCCGTCGGTGATCTTATCACACCTCCCAACGTCGTCTTCCAGTTCTGGGAAACTTCGCCCCTAGAAGTCGTCATCTTCTTCGCCGGGGTTTTTGTCACCATCTTCACCAACATCGAAAACGGAATTTACGTCACCATCGCTACTTCTTTCGCGCTCTTGCTCTGGCGCCAACTGTTCACACATGGTGCTCTCCTCGGCAGAGTCCGAATCTACCGCGCAACTCTGGACACAATCGCCCACAAAGAAGATAGCCACTTCGCACCCAGTTCGGAAACTTCTGTCCGAGAAGCCTTCATTCCAGTTGATCGCAAGGACGGGTCCAATCCGCTCGTAGGCATCGAAACACCTTACCCTGGTGTGCTCATCTACCGCTTCACCGAAGGTTTTACATACCTCAACCAACAAGGATACATGGACGAACTCGTGCACCATGCGCAAACCATTTCCCGACCCACAACACTGGATAAATACACCAAGATCGGTGACCGGCCCTGGAATGATCCTGGTAAGAACACTCCCCCATGCAAACCCCCCTTACCCATTCTCAAATTACTAATTTCGCAACAATCAGGCCCACGACGTGGCCAACAAATCAACTACGACGACAACCGGCCCATCCTCCGCGCCATCATCCTCGACTTCAGTGCCGTCAATAACGTCGACGTAACCTCGATCCAGGGTCTCATCGACGTCCGCGCCCAGCTCGACCGCCACGCCGCGCCCGAAACCGTCGAGTGGCATTTTGCCTCCATCAACAGCCGCTGGACCAAGCGCGCGCTGACAACCGCGGGCTTCGGATACATTGACCGCGAGCGCTTTGCTTCTCGCCAGCACTGGAACCCGGTCTACAGCTACGCCCCGCTTGAGACTCCAGAAGCCAAGCTGCACGATCCTGAGGCGCAAGATGATATCCACGTTGTGACTAGTAATAAGGGTTTACCGAATGGCAAGGTCACAACTGTGCACGGTCAGAATCGACCATTCTTCCACATTGACGTTGCGGCGGCGGTAGAGAGCGCGATTGCAGCTATAGTTGCTAAGCAGCAAGGGAGCTCCGGAAGCTCACCTGAAGTCGGACAGGCGGAATTTACGACAAAGCAGGATTAAGTTAGAATATTTCTGTATGTAATTAGAAATACTTATGATTCTTGTGATAGTTTTTGCCTCTTTCTTGAACTCTTGGTCTTCTTTTTTTTTTTTGACTTTTTGTATATAAATCACCTGTCACTGTGATGTGAACGCTTACGTAGATTGAGCTTGAGAAGGGAGACCTAGCACCTTAGTAATCTTCTGTTCCACACATTCTTCAATGCGTGTCATGCATTTGTGCATACACACAGAGACATCTAGTCTTCCGCACGTCAAGGAGAACAGGATACCGGAGCCCCGGACGTGGATCGACCGCGCACGTACAGCTGGGCAAAAGACGTTTGCATGCAACATGTGTTGTTGAGGAATCCATGTGGGCACAAGACGGAACGGACGGCTACCGGGCCGTTGGCAAAAATACAGAGTGGGGAAAAGAAGTGATGAAATGCATTTTCCAACGCTAAACTCCCAAGATGAGATGTAAGACTGGGTTGTTGGAGGAGAAAAATGGAGAGCTCAGGGGGAGCTACTCGACTCAATGTGGGAATCGTATCTCACTCGGTGAGGCTGATGCCAAGCGGAAATACGTATAGGCGATTGCTACAGATGTAAGTATTACGTAGTTCTTACTACTACTACGAGCACCAAGAAAACGCCAATACACGACCTAGTCGAGAAAGAAAAGAAAAAAGGGTCAACAGCTGCAGGGTCAGTTTGCACCATGCTTCGGACGATTGATTGCGCATATTCTCACATAAGCCGTTCCGTACCCAAGAAAGACATGTGTGTGCGTATGTACGTGCGAGAGCACATGATGACCGTTTGCGATAGTAGTAAATACGGAGACTGCCCGACATTCCGAAGCGACCGCCCAAAGGATGATGACGACTTTGTAAATTAAAAACTTTAGAACATGGACCAATCAAATTTTCCCACCCTCCCCTGACCGAGGTTTTCCTAGTCGGTGCCGTGGGCCGTAGAAATCCTTGCTAGAAAAGGAACACTGGGTATGACTCTGAAACAGCGCTAAAACACCGGAATGCGTGCTTCCATTGCCGTTTACGTCGTTGGGGAGTATCCTGCTAGGTATGATCTGACTATGGAGCGGCGCATTAATTGGCGGCAACGTTGTTGCTTTTGCACGGGCATATGATAAATGGCGATGAAACCTCATGCCTGGACGTTACGTCAACACGTGGGTTCGTATATGCACCCCGCGTCTTGTGCGTATTGTTAAAGGGACTCTTTTCCAAATCTCCGGACGCCAGTCACCGTCCCGAGTGGTCACAGCATCCCGGCAGTTGACCGGCAGGCGAGGCGGCCGCAGTACTGCCGGCGATATGAAAATTCAATTTACTCTACCATAGCCATGTGAAAAGTGTGCTTCCCATCCACGTCTATAACAGCATGACCAAAAGACTGGCGGCTTGGGAAGTGGACCTCAACAGTGATTTCGAGTAAGCTCATTTTCGCTGCCCACCGATCGTATATGTAAATTAATATGATTGGGCGATGAGGTACTGCGCAGGGCAGGTCCCACCCCGGAAGCTGACTGCATTGGGTCGCCGGCTGAAGTAGAGAGTAGATTGTAGATTCTTCAGATACGGGGAAGATTTGACAGCGCAGCCAAACAGCGGAATCGATCTAGGTAGAGAGTGTGGAGATGGAAGTCTAGAAACTTTCCATCGTAACCATGATGTTGGGTAGTATCAAAGTATATAAATATGCCTTGGAAGCACATTTGACCATCCATCAACTTGCCAAGTATCTTCGAAAAGACTACCAATCTTGCCCAACATGGTATCTCTTAAGCAACTCAGTTTTGTCGTCCTCGCCACTGGCCTCGCCACGGTTGCTGCTCAGTCCACAGGAAAGACGACACGTTACTGGGACTGTTGCAAAGGCTCCTGCGCATGGGCAGGCAAAGCCAGTGTCACCCAACCTCTCAGGACGTGTGACAAGAACGACAACCCCATTAGCGATCTGATGGCGAAGAACGGATGTGAGAGCGGTGGCACTGCGTTCATGTGCACTAACCAGACGCCGTGGGCAGTCAACAACAGCCTCGCATATGGCTTTGCTGCTGTAAAGCTGGCCGGAAAGAGTGAGCGTGACTCATGCTGTGCTTGTTATGAGTGAGTACATGGACAAGGATGCGTTTGAACAAAGGCGACTAATAGGCAATGTTCAGGTTGACCTTCACGTCGGGCCCCGTCGTAGGCCAGAAGATGATTGTGCAATCCACCAACACGGGTGGTGACCTTGGAGACAACCACTTCGATATTGCTATGCCAGGTGGTGGTGTAGGCATCTTTAACGGCTGTACTGCACAGTTTGGCGCGCCATCCACCGGGTGGGGTCAACAATACGGTGGCATCTCGAGTCGCTCTGAATGTGAAAACTTTCCTGAGAAGCTCAAGGCAGGGTGCCGGTGGAGATTTGACTGGTTCAAGAACGCCGACAACCCGACTATTAGTTTCAAGGAGGTCACCTGCCCTGGTGAGTTGACAAGCAGGACTGGCTGTATCCGGTTGTAGAGAAGGGTGAAGAAGAATAGGAGTTCCGCCATTGATACTTGATCAGCACAAAGGAGGCAAGATGTACATATGCACACATGCAATGACGAAGCGGTGACAAACCACGGCCAGCTGTCCCGCATCGTGAGGCATTATAGTCAAATAAGTTCAGATCATCGTCATCAACCTTTTGGAGAAAATGCTTGCGTTTGTGACACGGCAGAATTGTTGTCGGGGAGAAAGTGTTCCCGGACCGAACCTACACCGCCCGGCGAGGGGAAGATTGCAGCTTGACCATGACGTGAGTAGTAGACAGTGGACACTGGCCATGGACAGGCACGAGTGTGTAGATGGGCTAAAAGAGAGGGGTAGAACAAAGAGGGAATGGGGATAGGGAGGGGCCCAAAAGGGAAACATGGAGAAGCCATGGAGCTGTGTCGAGCAAGCACTCGTGTCAAGTGGAGCCAAGCACGGCATGCGTACAACGGCGAAGTGGGTAGGAAGCACCCGTTTAGGCGACGCGCGTTCATTTTGAGAAGATGCTGATCAGCGGTGGGAGGAGATGAGGCGGTTGGTTAAGGGCAGAGAGCGGCTCCGGCAAGGCGTTTTGCCCGACTAAGGTGGATGAAACAAAAATGACGCAGGGCATCTCGCAACTCGCCAGTTCTCCGGGCCTGCCCGGGCCAACTAGATGCCAAGTGCCGAATCTTTGCCTGAAGTGCCCGCCAACAGAAACTCTGTATGCATCCACTCTGCTCAGTATCCTCACTCAGCATGTGAGAATATGGTATCCACCCCACACTCGCCCATCCAATTCACTCCAGCCACAGCCTCCCGGCCTGTTTCAGACGCCCTCTTGATTGTCGCCGTTGCTGCGAATAGTAAGCACGCAGCTGCACAAGGTCCTTGACCATCGTGTTGATCTCACTTGCACGGCATGACACGAGGTCACGGAGCCGGCGTAAAAGTGAACCCACAGCACAGGCATGGATCGCCACGCCGCCTCGGACCCTTGGGCTCATGATTTTGACAGAAGCCGATGATCTTCGCCGCTGCTCTGCCGCTCGTGAACATACATGTCCTCCCTGAAACCCGTCTTCTTTTCTTATTCACGCCCACTGCTGCAAAAAGACTCCCCTCGTCCCCGCCTCCCACCTAACCTGCCCGCGTCTCATGGCTGCGGCCACGCTCCTCTATTCTCCATCAGCCTGCCGCCATCCTTACAAATACTCTCATTTACTAATCCCCGTTTGTGCCTCAGCCTGGTGCTGCACTCTCCATCGCTAGACCAACATGCCTCACCGCAACCTCATATGCCGCCTTCTCTTCTGCGCCATAGTTTCTGTATCTGTCCTTAACATATTCACAAAGGCCTCCACACCCCGCTTGCACCATCCTGCAAAGGCCTCATCCCACCACGGCTCGTCCGGCATTTTCTGCCCTCAGTCCTCACTCGCCAAGGACGTCCTAGTGGTACTACGAACTGGTGCCACAGAGTCCCTTGAAAAGGTACCGGTGCACTTCCGGACCACGTTGCAATGTGTGCCCCATTATGTCATCCACTCGGATCTAGACGAAGAGATTGAGGGCCACGCTGTCCACGACGTCTTGAAGGGCGTCAGCGACAAGACCAAGCAAGAAAACGACGACTTCAAGCTGTATCATCAGCTGCAAAAGCATGGAAGGCGTGGGGTACCACAACAGCAGGTCATGACGTCGTTGTCTGGTTCCTCGCAGGGAGATTACATGCGTACCGACAACGCCGGATGGCAACTGGACAAGTGGAAGTTCTTGCCTATGATTGACCAAGCCATCAAAGCGAAGCCTGACGCCAAGTGGTATGTCTTCATCGAGACCGACACATACCTGGGCTGGAACAACCTCCTCGAATACCTCTCCAACTTTGACGACAGCAAGCCCTACTACATCGGCAAACATCTTTACATCAACCAAGTCGAGTTCGCATACGGCGGCGCTGGCTTTGCCTTGTCCAACCCCGCCATTATGAAGGTTTCTGAACAGCGATCCCAGCACCTAGAGGAATACGAAGAGTTTACCAAGACACACTGGGTTGGAGACTGCGGACTGGGCAAAGTTTTTGAAGACAGCAAGATCCCACTCCACCGCGCATTCCCGCACTTCCAGAGCGATTCACCAGCTACCCTCAACCCAGCGACGTCCAAGATCGACCGCGACCTGTGGTGTTACCCTACCATCACCTACCACCACGTCTCGCCCGCCGAGATTGAAGAGCTTTGGGAGTTTGAGCAGGACTGGTACAAGCGACACCAAATCCTCCTACGTCATCGAGACATCTTCACGGAGCTGGTCCGGTCCAAGATTGACACGTCAGTATTGGAATGGGACAACATGTCTGCAGACAAAGAATACAACGCTCATGACCATTCTGCTGCCGCGAATCAACTCGAAAGAAACGCATGGAAATCATTTGAGCACTGCCACGACCTGTGCGAAGAGCAAAGCGACTGCATGCAATTTTCTTTTGACGCAGGCAGTTGTGCCATCTCGACGACATTCAAGTTGGGCTATGCCAAGCCCTCAGGAAGAATAAAGAGTGGATGGATGCTCGATCGGGTCGACGACCTGTTCCGCCAGCTTGAAGACCGCTGTGGCCTGAGAGATTGGTTTGCGCCCCATGAAAGCGCATCCAACACCGAACTCAAGCTCAAGCGGATGATGAGAAGGAAGGTTTAACCTTTCGCTACCACTTTCACTTTGCCTACAGCATCAGCATTTAACGAATTTCTTTTCTCTTGTAATTCCACAAAGTCATGATACCCCCCCATCCAACATAGACACTCGCTACCTGGTCTACCCCTACCAGTCCATCCTACCAACCGCTGGGTTTACACACGTGTATATAGAATAGTCACAAAGCCGCACTGCGCGAGCCGTCCTGAATCAAAGAATTAATTTAATCACAAGAAAAACTAAAGTATAATTAGCAATTGTACAGAATGTCATCGCGCCGACGCCACTTCGTGAGCTTATATAAATAGATGGATGTGTCAAAGCACCAACTATGTACCTAGGGATTACGTGCATGGAACTAGTAGCACGGATTACAATGCAACATCTCACGCAATCATCTCTTTTGTCAAGAATTAAAAAAACAATTCAGAGCAAACTTGGTCAATTGTACAATTACATAGATTTCTCACTCCTACATATATAAATCTTCTCCTCTTTCATCCCAGTAATACATATTCTTCTTTCCTCACCAACCTAACAAGATAGAGAAAAGCGGGAGGGAGAGATAAAGTTACTCTTGTAGACATTTATACTGGTAATGAGTTCCCCATATACTCCCATGACATGCACACATGCAACTACACACTCGCAAACATTAGAAGGAAAAAAAACTGGCGACGACTGCGAACAGACGTTAGAGTACAAGTACAAAATCAAAGAAAAAAAAAGATCAGAAGCGCTGGTGATGATGCTTTCGCTCGCTCGCTCGCTCGCTTTAAGAAAAAAACACAAAGACGACGCCCGCCCCCTTTGTCCCGACTACTGTACGTTCTTCTCTTTACTACATATATGCTTTCAAAAAATGTGCGCGCTAGAAACTTGGCAAAAAAAGGAAGGAAGGAAGGGAGTAAGTGAGGGAGGTTGTATTATTAGTGCCATTGAACCGTGTAACTTCGGATAAAGGAGGGGATGAAAACAGAAAAGGACGAACAGGAAGAAAACCCCCCGCTTGGGCAAACGACATCCTTTATAATGCAATAGCCGTAGCCGTACTATCATGCTTATGCTCGGCGGCAAGATTATCTGTGCTATCGGCATAAGCCAGGAGGGCTTTTGCGTCACCGAGGCCTGAAATAGCAAGGCCCTTTTCGTCTTCTTCGTGGATGGTGCTTTCTTGCAGACTTTCTTTCGAGTATTCGCTCTTGCGCTCAGAATCCGCCATGCTGCCTTCGGCATCCTCGTCCATTAGATTCGGGGGACGCTGGCGCATCGCACGCGCCTTTTCGAGCGAAATCGTCTTTTGCTGGTAGGTCGTTGTAAAGGGGAGCGCTTCGTCACGATCGATCGTCGCTTTCATTAACGCAGCCATCCATAGCCGTCCCATTGCCAGACTGTCCACTGCGAAATAATGTACGATTGGCTTGGTGAATTGGACACCTTTTTGCAGACCTGCACGAGGCGGTACCAGCTTGAAGATGAACATGCCCGACATATCTGCCTCGATACCTGGAATTCCCTTGGCGCTGTCTGTTGATGCCGCAGTTTGGATGGTGGCGTTTTGTGGTGAAGTTGGAGATGAGGCAGCACCAGTCAATGATGCGTGGAGTCCGGTCATGCGCTCGTCATTTGCCGGTAATACACGATGTGACGATATGTCGATGAGGCCCTTCTCTTCGGTATCGTTTTCTGTGTAGTAGTAGGCAAGGCGTCGGCCACGCAACACAAATAAACGCGTCTTCCACGTCGTCATCAGACTTGACGACTTCTTCTTCATCCACCCACTATAATCACAGTTCTCCATAGCTTGTTGAGGAGTGATTTGCTGACGGCCTTTGAGGTAGGCGCTGGTGCCGTGTTTCTTGGTCTTTTTCCGCGCTTCCTTTGTGCTGGCGGTGGAACTACTGGTCATGCGTCTGTTTGGATCCGTCTTGTCAAGCTCAATGCTCTTGGACACGGAGTTACCAGACGGCGTACTTGAGCCTGTCCGGGAGGGTGACTGCATTGGGGAATCTTTGTGTGGCGAAGACACATCTGCGGCGCTTGCGTTTGCCTTTTCCCCACCGGTGATGGCGTCCGATATAGCCCGCAAGCCCCTGGATTGCGACCCCTTTCGACTGCTGAAAAATGATCGCGTATGCGATTGCGCTGCAGGAGACGGTGATGCGCGACCAGTGCTTGATGTTTCACTGCCAGGAATGTGCGGAGAATTCGCAATAGCATCAATGCTGTGCGAATCGTATGTGAGCTTGGTGACTGTTGGGTGCATATCCGTCTGTGGCTTGAGTGGTCGCACAAAGTCAAAAGCACTCGAGCTGCGCTCGCTCCTAATACTAGTCCCATAGTACTGTTTCGCGGCAACCGAGATGGGGCTTGCCGAGCGGAAAGCAGAGTCTGCACTACCAATTCTGCTGTGTCGTCGCCCATACGATATCCGCCGTCCAGCCTCAGTGCTGTAGCTGGCGTTCCGAGAGTGGCTAGGGCTTTCTCGCTTGCGCAAAACATTTCTGTTCTTCCGGTTGTCGACCTCTCCACCAGAAAAGTAGCCCCTATCAATGTCCGCAGGGGCTAGGCCAGGCTCCGCAGTGTCAAAAGAGGTTCCGTTTATACTCGAGCCATGCGTGTGATGCGAGGATGACGGGCGATTGATTTCTTGCACCGGCTTCTGAGGGGAACCCATTGTCCAGTTGCGATCGAAAGACGGCGTTTTCCTATGGGGGTTGGCCGATGCAGGCGACTTGATCATTCCCGCTGTACTAGGCGTCGAGGGCACTTGGTTGTAATCGACAGAAGAATGGCGTCTGTTGTGGTTCATACTTCGGACGGACGCAGCAGAAGGGCGGATGGACGACCCAATGGGGGGTGAAGCGGGCGTGTGCTGAATTAGTGGGGATGTAGCGTCGTGAGCGGACGACGGACCTGCCGAGGATGCAGCTCGCGGAATGTGCTGGCGGCTCGTGCTGCCACGCGAGCTAATGCTATCCCTAAGCGTCGGTATGCGTGGGAGGACGGCGCCTGTGGACGCTGCTCGGTTTCGTCCACCATCGACTGGGAATTCGTCGTGACCTTCGAGGGAGGGCAGGGGCAGGGCGTCTTTGGCGACTTCCTTTGCGCTCTTGACCTCAGATTGCAGCGCATTGATCTTCATCCAGGTGCGCAGCCTTGGGCCCATTGGGCCCAGATCAAACTCTTGCATGAAGATAAAGTTGCGATCCACACCCAACAACGCCTCACCGTCGATCTCTTGGTCCTTGAAGACTTGGCAGTGCTTCTTCTCTACGCCCACTTCTTCCAGGTACTCGGCTACGCGGGCGGGCGACCATGTCTTGACCTCTTCCTCGGTGTGCCAATTTTGCTCTTCTTCGTCAGTTTCCTGGCCATTGATGTACGAGAGGCGGTGGTGGCTGCTGTACTCGCTTTCCGAGTCTGCAGATCGCATTTCCTTGGTCGCGGAGTTGAGCCTCGGGGTATTCATACCGGTAATGTGCTCGTCAATTACGCTCAGCGTCTCATGCATGACTGGGCTTCCTATCGTTTCTTCGTCGGGCGGTGCCTCTCCATTTAAGGTCATGCTGATGCTCCGGGGAGCGCTTTGGGCCGATGATCTCCGCATAGTCTCTGGTCCTTGGGCAATATGGAGGGGCTCTGTCGGGGGGGATTTCAAGGGTGAGGGGGCACTGGACGATGGTGAGGGCTCTGAGATTGCGGTACCGGGTGGGCCCGATGCGTCTGACGGCGGACCAGATAACTGCGAGGGATTGCGCGAGAGCATGGTGGGGATGGGCGTGGGCTTAGGGGCAGGCCGTGTATAGACTGTTGTTGTGGTTAGGGATGATTCGTCATAACAGCATGACATATGCTGTTCGCTAGGGTTTCCATGCGAGGAGGACGCACCTTCAGGAAATAGGCCATTTTCGCCCGTTTCAGTGTTCTTGCCCAGGAACCAGCCATCGCCAAAGTCATCGTCGCGTTCAATGAGCTCAATGCGGTCTCCGCGCCTGAGGCTCAGCTCGTCGGGGCTGCGGGCGACGAACTCGTCTGCGGCGGCATGTTAGCAGTGATGAGCGGAGAAGCATGGGGATTGTGAGCGACCTACGCACTACGACAAGAGTGTCGCCGGGCCGGCAGCCCTCGGTGTGGGAGCGTTGGGCCATGGTGGTGGTGGTGGTGGTGGTGGTGGTAGCAGCAACAGCTCAGCGGCAGCTCAACAGGTGTTGAGGCTGCGTGGGAGAGGGGCGTGGGTATGGGCGTGGGCGTATGTAGTGCGGCGCAAAAGGCAGGATTGATAACGGCGGTGGCGTCGAGCAGCGGCAGTCACCCGTCAGTCTTGGAGCTTCATGAGAGCATGGCGGCGCTATGTGGCGGGCAGAAGAGGCGCCGTTGGTGGGGATGAGGGGCGATGGCGGTGATGGTAGCGATGGCAGAGGTGAGGGTATAGTGCCTGCCCAGCGTCGTGGCTCGCCCGGATTAGGTGCTGGTGGGCGGGCCAGCTAATACTTAGTAGGCTTGCAAGGGCCGGGGCAATGACCAAGGCTACATGCCCATTGACCATTGACCATTGGCCAGCCCAGCATTCGCATCATGACCAGGAGCAGCAGCAGCAGCAGCAGCAAGATCAGGAGCAGCTTCAAGATCAAGATCAGCCAGCGCCGTGCCAGTCTACGCACACTGCGCCCCAGCCATGCTACCGAATATACGTCCGCTGGTTGCGCCGCGAGGTCAGCCCGACATTTTGAGGCCGGTTGTGTCGCATCGAGCACTCTGTGCTTTTCTTTTTTTCTTTGGCCCGGCAGCTGCAGGTGACTGGCAGGTGGGAGGAAAAGGGTTGCACTGGGTGCAGTTGATTGATTAATTACACGGCCATATCCATTTCCGTTTCCGTCTCTGTTTCCATTGGTACCCGCTCTCGCGTCGCCATTACCCACGCGCCCGCACCCCTTTTACTCGCCCACGACTACATACATACATACACACTCTGACCCACCTTGATTCCCACCACCGCCCTCTGTTCATCTTTGGCGGTAGACGGGCAGCAAAGAGACAGAATACGGCCGGCAGACAATAACGAGTACGGGCAAGCAATGCACATAATCCGCCCCCGCCGCCCGCACGTGCGCGCGCGCCATGGCCCCACCCATCCCGCTTGAAACAGGCCGTGGGTGGGTGAGCACGTCCACGTCCATGTCCACGTCCATATCCACATCCACACCAAACATTGAGTCCCTCACCCGTCGATCCGCTCATTCTTTGAGCCCACGCCATGGTTTCTGCTGGCCACTCGCCGACCGACGATGCCACGGCCCATACTCTCCACCATGTCCTCGGCAACCTCGGCGGTCCACGCAAGAGCTGGATGTTGCCTGCCAATGCCCCCGTTGAGCCCCCGGCACTTCCCGCACAACCATCCGCCATTCTTCTGCCATTCACGGTGCGTGGCCGTGGAAGGCCTCGCAAAATACCTTCTCAGAGGCGCCCTTCTTTGCACCCCGTAGACCCGTCCGCCCAGTCACAGTACACAAGCCAACCAGAGCAGCACCCAGCTTCCAACTATTCAGCATCTCCCCAGTTAGCCAATGCCCTGGCTCCTAGACCTTCCATTGCTTCTGTGCTTCCTTCGCCAACTCCCAGTGAATATGCAGCAACGAGCGCGGCAACGCTAGCGGCGGTAGCGGTGGCAACACCATCACCAATCACATATAGCCCAGCGGTCAATGTAGGCGTCTTCACCTTCCACTCTGCCGGAGCAGCCTATGCGCCAGAAACACCTATAGAGCACACATACGTGGACTCGGTGCAGCATGGGCGCGCCTCACACGGCTCAATAGATGGGGATGCCTATCAGATATTCGCTCCGCCCAAACCTACAAACCCCCGGCTGTCAGTCAGACGAAGCATGACAAACATGCCGCCCCATGTCGCCGCAGATGTTGCAACCCCAGACCTGCCACATCGCCCATCATTAAACACGTATCCGCAGACCAACAGTCCAATACAAAGACAGGCTCACACTCACACTCCTTCCAACTTGACGTACCCACCCGGCCAAGTGCCGTCTCCACGTGTGCCCACAAGCGTACAATTCCATCACCCAGCCGAGCGCAGGACAATGGTTCTACCACAAACGTTTCCTGCCGTCTCGCTCACCTCTTCAAACATGTCACCCAGAATGTCGTCGTGGTACACAGCCAATAGCTGTTTGGAGAAACTAAACGCATTCCAGGTGTCAATATCTGCATTACCCAGCAACACTCGTGACAAGCTGCGATTGGGTGTGCTACGAGATGCAACTGAGAAGGAAGACTGGTTCTATTTGACCATGCACCAATGCTACTGTATGCTCACCACAGCCCCCGAGACTCTACCTGATAGCATAAAAACCCTCCCGGACTTGCCTCAGGCAGAAAAGGTACTGCAGGACATTCTTGAACCCAACCACAATCTGAGTTCTGGTGTCGTGCACTTCTTCTCAAATTACCCGTATCCCATGCAAAACATCTATGCCAATTGGCCCTCGGGCTTTGATCACCAGGTGTATTTGTTCAGCATGTTTGTAGCTCATTGCCTCAACTACGAATACCTAAGGAATATGTGCGATCAGCGTCGTTATCCGCCACTCGCACGCGAACTCGACACAACTCTCTGTATCCCTTCGACCATTCTTCAGCGCTTAGTGTTTATTGCTTTTATACGCTACCTCTGGCGCGCCAACCAAAAAGCTCCCTTCATGGAAAAATTCGAGGTCATGGCTGTTACTATTTTTCAGCAAAATCAGATCGATTATTTCCGCCAAAAACTTGAATCGACTCCTGTCCAATCTCGAGAGGCACTGGCTGCGGAACGAGTCTGTGCTTCCAAACTCCGAGCGGCTGTCGAAGGCTATGAAAATGCCCTTCGCCAAGGAGGTATTCCATCAATCCCCCTCTACCAGTCGCACCAACACCAGCACCAACACCAGCAGCAAAGACAGAGCAATACTGCGAGGCAGTTCAAACCCAACAGTGTCGTAAGTCCATACCCTCAGCGGCTTGCTGTTCATCAAGTGTACGAACAGAATTATACTCCGTCTCTGCCAATCAACACAAGTATACAACCTCAACCGGCACCAATACCAGCTCAACCAACACCAACATCAACTCAACTCCAGACGAAGCCGAGCACGAGCTTGCTTCCACCTTCCGGGCGCGTACAGCCTCAACAGCGAGTGGCCAATCCCGCTAGATTCTCTCTCCACCAGGCCCATCTGCGAAGCCCCGTCCTCAATGCGCATTCCGTTCCATCGCCACTATATACGTTCCAGGAAGGATATGTCAAATCTCCTGCGCGGTTGTCGGAACCAGGTTGTACAATGGAAAAATGGGTTTTTGTAGTGACACCCGATAAGATGACCTCGTTCCCTAAGACTGTCCGCCAATCAGTTGCCGACCCCGGCGTCCGGAGTATCAACGAGACAAACAAGATTGCTCGTCTGCGTTGCATCAAATGGAAAGACAAGACATATACACCAAAGGAGCATGTCTGGGCAACCACCGATACATCGTGGATACCGTACCTGTATCTCAGTTTAAACGGTACGCCTCTTGAAGCACGCAAAAAGATGCATCACGGCAAGGACCTAGCCGTCGATGTTACCGACCTACTTCGCGAGGGCGAAAACGTTCTCGAAATGACCGTCATGACCCAATCAAGTGACACATCGCACTTGGACTACCTCCTTGCCATTGAAGCCATCACCATCATCTCCCACGACTCCATCAAGCTAAACTGCACAACCCAAAACCGCGCCTCCGCCCAAACTGTCCTCGAATCTATCAAACAGAAACTCTCAGGCTCCTCCGCCACCGCCACCGACGACAACAACAACAACGACGACGACGACGACGACGACGACTTCCACATCGTCCAAAGCAACATGACCATCAACCTCCGCGAACCATTTAGTCAATCAAAACTCTGCGACACTCCCGTCCGCAGCAAATTCTGTCTTCACAATGACTGCTTCGACCTCGACGTCTTTTTGCGCTCTCGACCCCGAAAAGGTGATGCGTCCGTCGTGGATCACTGGAAGTGTCCCATTTGCGGCACCGACGCGAGACCGAATGTGCTGGTACATGATGGCTTTATCGAGCATGTGAATATGGCACTTGAGGCGAGGGGATTGAGCGAAGCGAGGCAGATTGTTGTGCTACAGGATGGGGAGTGGAGGGTTAAAGATGAGGGGGAGGGTGGGGCGGTGCAGCGGCGTGAGTCTGAAGAGGGTGAGGTTTCTACACCTGCTACCACTGCTGTTGCGGTCCCGTGGCCGTCCATGTCGAGGTTGTCGAGTATATCTATACCTGTTGATGCCGAGATTATTGATCTGAGTGACTAAGGTCGTTTTCTGTCCTGCGGATGTTCCTTTTGTTTTCGTTCTCGGTTCATGGGCCACCATTCGGGTTCATCTGGGTTGTTCTTCTACACAGAAGCGAGGCCTTCTTCTTCTTCTTCTTCTTCTTCTTCTGTTTACGGATGTACATGTATACATGCACTCATCATGTTCAGTGGAGTTTTTACCCGGCGATGCCTGATACCCCTCTTTCCTTCACTTACCTACATACGACTTATGACTTTCCTGTATATTTCTCAAGAGCAAAAATCATGATCAATCTCTTCTTCTGCTATTCTCTTTACTCGCTTCTCATCATAACTCGTGGGATATCATGCTGAGGGGAAATTTCTTTATCTATAAGATTAGATGTAAAATTTCTATCTATTTCGCTCGCGCGTAGCCTAGGCATTTGTATCTATGCAAAAAAAAAACAAAAATTCGTAAATGCGGAGGGGTAAACAAAATGTCAACCTCTAGCGGGATCGCGACCGCTGTACACCCAGAAAAGAACTCATGGGGAGGGAGATATATTGTCCCCCGGTCCAGGGCCAGCTCGGTCCTCGTTCTCGGAACGGACGGTAGGGAAATCGTCTGTATGGGTATATATAACATCTTCCTTTACATCCGCAAATCGCAGACGCGCGCCCGGCGTATCGCGAGTAGAAACCTCCTGGGCTTTTTTCCAATCAACTACTCAACATTTCATTCCCTCCTCCTCTTTCGAAACTCGTAGATCTCTGCATCTCCAAAACTCCGTCTTCGACTTCTGTCTTCATCCAGCCAGCCGAACAGTCCACTTCTCTTGCTTCTCCACACACGCAACAGGCGCAGGCGCTTTGACCACATTCATACCGTACGCCTCGAGATCATGACAACTTGGGAGCCGCCCGCTGCACGCGATTTCCCTCAGCAAACTGGGACCGCGGCCCATATCCACTTCACCGCCCAGGACCACACACGCAGCTTCTTCGAGCTTCTTGGCGAGTAGCTGCCACGCGCGGCCATGGCCCGTCACGCCGTCGCACGCCTCGTGCATGGCGCACGAGCGGCAGGAATATGCTTTGAGGAAAGCATGGCACATTTCGTGGATAATTGTTCCAAGGCGGTTGTTCAGGCGCAGTACATCCGGGTGGTGACTAGGCGTGCCGGCGCCGCGGTATAGAGTGGGATGGACGAGGATCTGGGTGCCGATCAGAGGATTGAAGAGGCTTTTGCCAAAGCAGTCGCGTTGCTGCTCGGGAAGGTACGAGAAGCCTGCTGTTAGAGTCGCATTGTGCGTGGGTACGCAGCCTGAGAAGAAGACGCGGTTCAGGTGCGTGAAGAGCGTGGTTAGTTGCGTGATTGAGAGTGTACGGCGCATGTCCAGGCCAGTAATTTGCGGGTGCCACGCTTTGAGGAGACTGCGCAGTTGGTGGACGGCCGGGGTAATGTGCGCGGATGGGTGGAGGTAGGTCGCGTCGAGCCACGCCATGTGGTGTCGTACCAAAGTCATGGCTTCATAGTCGCCGCGAAAGCGTAGTCGCAGGTACGATCCTGGACTGACCTGCTTGGGCTGATTCTCATACAACAGGCCTTTAGAGCGCCGGGTGCGGTTGTTGTTGGCCAGTTGGTCCTTGATGATGCCATGGGATTTGGTCGTGGTGATTTTGTAGAGCTTAGGTGCACATTCATCGCATTCACATGGTACATCTGCTTCTTGAACGTCTCTCCTCAGCTCCTCAAGGTTTCGCGGAGCCTCAGAGGGCTCTGTTTCCGTTTTTGGCTGCGGAGGTCGTCGGAGAATGCGGTCCTCGATAAACGACAGCTTGGGGTCGAGCGAAATGAGCGGCTCGAGAAAGGGAAGCAGGTAGTGCCATTTAGACGGGCCGTGACATGCTTTGCCCTGTTCGTGGTCTCGTATCTGTTCCCTGGTGCTGGGTGTTTTTGGGTTTCCGAGGATGAGCTTTGCAATTCGCCGAAAGGGATGAAGCCGTCTCCTCTTCCTCTTGACGGTAGGGTTATTGGCCGAGGTATCTGAAACGGGAGGGTTCCCCATGGGGCTATGTTATTGAAATCTGACGTATAGCACTTGATATGAAGGAAGCAAGGAGGATAGGACATATTTCTTTGCCAGGAAGTGGGCCCATGATAGCCGTTTGCCATGCGGAGGGCAACCCGAACAGTGAGGCGGTCAAGCGATAAGATTGAGAGATCCCAGTCACAATATGCTTGTGTATCTCACTATGCACACCATGCAGTGCACAGACGGTTGAAGCGGTCAAGGGTGGAGGCGAGGGTTGGCAGGTCTTCCGGTACGAAACAATCGGGTCCGGAGAGACGGTAAGGTTTAGATATTGGAACACTGGGTGTTATTGCTACTGGCCAGCGCATAGTATAATTGCGTGGTTATCATTTTTTGTTTTGCTTCGGCGAATGTCGCCATGCCACGCGTGTCGAGAGAAGAGGACTCGGGATTCCTGCCCCTGGGTCACGGAACTGTGTTGCCGCGAAGGGCTAGTGCGGTGATTGTTCAATTCAAAAGGATAGCGCCACGTGGCGCAGCTGGGGGTCTGCTCGCAACGTCCCCAGGGTCTAACGTCGCGCACAGGCGCCCGAAGGCGCGCCATGTTTCCGCTTCAATAAAAGGCAGGCGGAACAGGCGCTCGAGATCCGACTCCTTTGTTGCACTGTCGTGTTTCCGCTGCGGCTAGGTGTGCGCTGTCAATGGCCCCTTGTTTTCCAGGCAGATTTTGGGCATCCAATGCTACCGGGGGGACGGAAGAGACGAGGTTGACCTCTGTCAGCGGTGGGGTTTCCTCGGCCCAAGGCTCATGCACAGTCAGCTTGGCCAATCGCCAACAAGTGCCATTGGTGCTGTAGGTGTAAGGCTGCCAACTCAGTCAAAGCATGATGGCGCTCTTTAGCATGCATGATTGTAGCGTCGCATCAACGCCTTGCTCTAATCTAGAGTATGCAAAGTCTATCTGGATACTGAGACGTGAGCAGGACGCGATCGCAAGTATCTAGGTGTAGTAGAGCAAGGTCGGTGTGGCGCTGGTTCATCGCGTGCCTTTGTCTGTGTCTACGGGGATCCGGTGGAATGGGCTGCGCATTGTCTCGAAAAAAAGAAGAAGCTTCCGGTTCGAAGATCTGCTTCACTAAGCTTGTAGTGTTGCAAAGTAGAAAATCTCCTTGCCGATCTTCCGCCTTCGGGTATGCAGCCCAGACTCTAACAAGCTGAAGAAACTGACAAGTGCAAGCTCATTTCCACAAAATGCTGTTTTTGTCATGGTACTTGTTAGCAGAGGAGGACTTGGTATTTGTTGAGCTCCGCAGTCAGTTTGAGTATTAGTGTAGAACGAAACTGGTGAGGCCATAACTGAAGAGGGACTAAACAGACGGCAACAAAGGTTTCTACTACAAGGAAGCGCGTTTGTTACAACAAAGGACATTCACTGCTGGGGTCGACAGGACGACAGCAGGACCGAGTGGTGGAGTGGTGATTGGCTGCTTGGACCAGCCCTGTGCACTGGGTGACGGGGAAGGCGGGAATTGGAGCGGAAGGGTTCAGGAGATGGCACGAAATGAGCATACTTGGTGAGGCATGAACAGTGGTTCCGGTGACTGGGTGAACCGAGAGCGGCTCTCGGGTGGTTAGTGCAGCGGCGGCCAATGATGGAGGCTGCAGACCAGAGATCTGGGAGGGTCAGCGTGCGGCATTTGGGTGGGTAGCCACGTCGTGCGGAAATGCATGCCGATCGCCAATACGGGTCTAGCAGGGAACCCAGGCAATACCTGGGGGCGGGCCTCTGTGCATCTCTGGCAGCTGGCGGCCGCGGTGGCGACGGATGGTGCAGCCAGATTGACGAAGTATGGCCGTGACTGGAGCAGTGAGTCCAGATGTAACGTGGAGGGCGATGTGACCCAAGCCAGGTTAGTGCCGTGAGCAAAACAGCGAGGGCGCAGGTGTAAGACGTAATATTGGACATGAGAGGGATGGAATTCTAAATAAGACGAGAAGCCGCGATAGGGGCGACGGGGTCATGGAGCGTGCAGGCAAGCAGCTCCAGACACACGGACGGGACAATTTCCAGGACGGTTTCAGCAAACGTGTGGAGGAGGGCATGCACACACACACAAACACACACATGGCAGCGGGTCAAGTGTGTCGACCTTGTGTTGCAGCGTGCGGCGGCGAATGCCTAGCAGTGCCTAGCAACGCCTAGTAGTGTCGATCGCGTACAGAGTTGCGCCACCAGCGAGAAGGAGCGAGTGCCAGTGTGTGAGAGAGCGTAAGAGGGCGTGTGGTGTCGGGAATAATGATAATTAGGCTTTGATCGCCAGCAGCCAGCAGCGGGCGCCCCTTTGTTGGTTGGAGCGGGTGCTGGGTCCAGTGCTGGGTCCAGTGCTGGTGCCAGAGAGGCTCGAGGACAGCGGGTGAACAAGGCCAGCGGGCGTGGCAGCCAATGAGTGGGCGGCGATGGCTGGAGCAGATTCCAGAAGACTGCTGGCAAGAGAGCCAGACAGGCCGCTGGGGCGCAATGGGGCGCAATGGGGTCAGACAGCGAGTGTGAGTGGGTAATAGAGGGCAGTCATACAGGCAGCGGACATGGATGACATGGATGCTTGGCATGGATGCTGGCTGACGTCCCGGCATGCTGGCCTCGCCTCGTCCTAGCGCCATCGTCCAAGCCACGGCCAGCGCGCCTTATACATAGATAGCACCCTGGCGCCGCCTACCTCGCAATAGCAGCATATGTACTTGCATACCTTCACTCACATGTACACTACACGCACTGCACATCCATCCATCTATCTAACACACATCCTACAATGGCCACCATGTTCCGTCACTTCTCTTTCGACCCCGTTCCTCGCCCGGCCTACGCCGCGTACGAGGCCGAGCGGGCTGCCATGAACGTATCGCCTACATCACCAGCAGCCTTGCTTCCACAGCACCCAAGCCGCCCACCCACGCCGCCTTGCACAATGGGCGACCTTGCCCTTCACCTCAACCACCAGACTCTCCGCATCGACTCTTCTGTCGCCTGTGGCTCCACGCGTCCTCCCACGCCTGACAGCGACTGCGACAGGAGCCTATCACCCACCACCGAATGTGTGCAGGAACAACCGCGCCCCACCTACTCGCGCATCTCAGCCTCAATCCTGCGCATGCAGCGCCAGCACACATCGCGCATGCAGTGCACTTCCTCACACGCCCGCGACATTTCCAAGCTGGTCCAGATGATCGAGGCTGAGAAGCAGTGCACCGTCAGCCTCCCATCCTCGACATGTCCACCAACCGCGTCCTCTGCCCGTGACGAGGCTGTTGACATGGACTACGACCTAGCCGCCAAACGCATCGAGGCAACCGTCGCCACCTCAATGTGGAGGGCGTCTGATCGCCGAGAAAGCAGCGTCCGCGTCACAAAGACGGTGCGCATGCGCAAGCGTTCTAGAGAGAACGCCGTGTGCAAGTAGTCGGCCTTCAAGTCGACTCTGTTTCTGCATTTCATTGCGTGCATAGCCAAGGCGTTTTGGGTTTTTATTTCACATAACAGGCGCAATATACCACTTGATCTTTGTTGGAATACCATGGGTATTAGCCCACGAGGCCGCGTCACAAGACAGGCTTAGCGATACGGGTACATGGTACTACTCGTTCTACACCACATACATACATCTATATTGCTTTTCTGAAATGCTCCCTGCGGGTTGAGCTGGACGCTGTAGGATGCGACGAGCCGAGGGCCGTTGCTGCGCTACATTACGTATTTAATACCATTGCATCATCGCACAACATATAACTATGGCTTGTATTCATGTTGTTTGGTTTTGTGTGCCAATCACACTCAGCCCTACGTTACCCGCATCCTGTGAACCTGCGTCCTGGTAAATTTGTGCCCCACTCTGAACCGCCGCACCGCTGCCAATGCCGAACGACCCTTGGTCTCACCAACACCACCACTCCCACAGCCATCACCGCCGCCATGTCGCTCCGACGAGCCCTGGCCCCGCGCTCCATCCACATACGCATCGTCCCTCGCCCAGCCAACCTCTCAGAGAGCCGGGAAATCTACCGCGTGCTGCAAAAGTTTGGCCAACTCGATACCTTCAAGTACCTACGGGTGCGTTATCCTCGTCCCATCTTGCCTGCGCCGGACACAACGTCTTGCTCTGCAAAGTGACCGCATCTGACTCCTCCCAGTACGAATATCAAAACCCCGCAGACAATGTCGCTCTTGCCATCTACCGGGACGAAAGGTCCGCTCAGCGCGCCCTCGACGCCTCGCCCCTCCGCTTCGCCTTGGAAAAGGCCGTTTCTCCCGCCACTACCCACCCACCACAATCCCCTTCGTCGCAAGAAGAAGAAGAGGGCAGTGACATAGAAAATTCCTCCGCCGATCAAATACAGCACACCAAAGGCATCGACGAGATCCTGCGCCCCTCGCAGCTTGCAAACCGTTCCTGGCAATCTACATACACGACCAAGCCACCTTCTAAGCCAACTCCCATGCCTTTCGAGTCCCCAGCGCCCTCCGGGAAACAAATCAAGCAGTCCAAATGGTTCCAAGTAACCATAGATCGTTCACGAGCTGTGCATCAAGATTACATCGAGCGCCAACCCTTCTGGAAGCAGTTCAACCCAATGAAGAGCATGGCTCAAGAAGACCTGGCAAAGATAGTGCCACATCCAGGACTGAGCGATATCAGCAGGCGCCCACCCAATGCCCATCGAACGCCCTCCCGCGTGCTCAAAATTATGAATGACTACGTGGAGACCAAAATGCCGACACTGCGAGGAATATTCGAGGGCAGCGAAGCAGATCGCGCATTCGAACAAAGAAGACAATCCAGCAAATGAGGGTTCGATTGAATCCCGTATTCTGACAGTCTCCTTATGCTTCAGGCAACCAGGACCTCCCAAGACCTATGTAGTGCACGTCAGCCCAAGGCATATTCCAGCCGCTTCGCCCGTTGGTTTAGCTCGCATACATGCCACCAACTAGCCTTTTGAGATGACAGAACAAGTCAAGAGACGAAGGACCCACATCTACGTGAATACTCATGTTCAATGCCATGCTTGAGAAGTATGGACGGATGACTTGCAGGTGAAAAGCAACCAAGTCAAGTCATACACGCAACGTAAAGCACGCATAGCTCATCCAATACAGGACCCAAGCACCTCATAACGGCGACTTGAGTCTACGATACTCAGAAAGGAAAGACTAGCCAACACAGGCGCTATCAAATTATCTGGGATTGTAATAGTACAGTACCGTAGAGCACAGAGAAATCACGTCATTTCTAACGGGAGATCAAACGGTAGATTTACATACTTGAAGCGGCCCGGCCTTCGTATGCGTATTGGGAAATTTGTCACATAAGCAATCACCCGACAAAGCTCCGCAGTTTAGAATAAACGTGGAGGCTGAGAAAACATCGTGGCTTGTGTTGTTGGCCATGTCGGTGCCGAGCCACAATCGTCAAATGACTCCGTTTCATGCAATGACTGAGAAATGAAAGTCTTTTTTTGGGATGATCAACCATCCTTGGTCACCAGTTCTCCACGAGGTCGCACGGCAATCTCGGTTCTTAGATAGTGGCGCATACCTATTGATAGTGGGTCAAGGCGGTTGTGCAGCCCATGCACAACAAGAAAGACCAAAGACAGTTCCCACCTTGATGATCGATACTGCCACGGCACTATTCGGCGCCTCAAGCAAGGGTCATTTAGCGCAGACTGCCTGGCGTTTCATAACCTCTTGGCTCCCGAATTGGCGTGAAGCCTTCCCGCGCTGACTGCATCTGAGACATGGTTCCTGGAGGGGCTACAGAGGCACATACTAGTTGGGCGCATCGTCTATGACCCTTTGTCAGCGTTAGATACCCGCTGTCAAAAGTCCTACTATACCGTTCAATGTGGGCGCCTGTTGCGAAGCATCATACACGCCCATGATATCAGTGGCCCATAATGCTCAGGAGAAGACGGGTCTATGCTGGGCGATCGGCAAGCGCTGTTTGTAGATTAACGTCCGTTGGCCAATGGCAATGCGCAGGGAGCACAATGGCACTAGACGACTCCTTAAATCTTGCCCGGCTGTACCCCAAAGGTCCCATACCTGCCGAATCTCAAAACGCCCTTCTGACGCTCCCTTGAAATAGAATCCCCCTCGTTTTTTCCTTTTCTCCTTGTGAGAGTCCACTCATTCCATTCCGCGTTCAAAGCGCTCGCAGTCATTCCTTGATCCAAACACCACCCTCAGCGCGTCTGGTCTACGCGCGACACCACACTCCTTCGGTACACACTCGCGCATACGATAATCGCAAACATGAAGTCCTTCGCCGTTTCTGCGGCCGCAATCATTGCCGGCCTGGTCTCTACGACTACCGCGCAGACGCACACGGACTGTACGTCGCATTTGCCCCAGCATCAAGCAAGATAGGTGCTAACATTCAAAGGCTACCCGCTCAATACGACAGGATGCCCCGACATGGAGGCTCTCGGCGGCAATGTGACTTTTCTGTGGAATAAGACAGGTATTCCACGGGATGACAAGATCTGGAAGACGCCGAACCAGGGCAAGATCGACTGGGTCGAGAAGGGCGCAACTTTTACTATTGAACGATCGGGCGACTCTCCCACTGCGAACTCGGTCTTCTACATGCTCTTCGGACGTCTCGAAGTCATTATGAAGGTGGCTACCGGTACCGGAATCATCTCCAGCGCTATCCTGCAGTCTGAGGCGCTCGACGAGATTGACTGGGAGTTTATCGGCGACAAGAAGACGATTCTCACCAACTACTTTGGCAAGGGAGATACCTCGACCTACGACCGCGGCAAAGACTTTGAGCTTGACTTTGCGCCACAAGAAGACTTCCACAACTACACCATTGATTGGACCAAGGACCGCATTGAGTGGTTGGTTGACGGCAAGAGTATCAGGAACCTTACTTTCGAAGAGGCCAAGGGAGGGACCCGCTACCCCCAGACACCCATGAACATTCGACTCGGTGCATGGGCTGCTGGTGACCCAAGCAAGAACGACCCCGGTGTTGTCAAATGGGCTGGCGGTGAAACCGACTTCAGCAAGGGCCCGTACACCATGACCATCCAGTCAGTGTATGCTCAAGATTACACGAGCGCTGCCAAGTACTCGTGGGAGAACATGGACTCATCTGGTGATTGGCAAAAGGTCAAGGTCATCGAGTACGTTATTTTTCCCTCTGTGCCCACTTGCTTGTAGTATGAAACTAACGATCTGCAGGGGGAAGTCTGAAGTGCTCGAGGAAATCCAGTCACCTCACGGCGTCAGGAACCGCTTCGCGGCTTTATCCAGCGGTGCCAAGGCCGGCATTGCCATCGGCGCTGTTTCGGCCGTTGCCATTGGCGCTCTTGTCATCCTCTTCTGCTGCATCAAGCAACGCCGCATTGGCAGGAAGGAACACGAGGCCCTTTTGGCTGCGGAGCAAAAGGAGGCCGCTGAGCTGAACGAGTACAAGTCGCAGATGCAGGCTGGCCGGTTTGCCGTCGGCGGCGGCGCCGGTCGTGTTTAGATTGCGCAAAGGCATTGGTTGGGAGTTGCGATTGTACAGTCTTTAATTGAGATGGGTTCTCTTTGCTACCAATGGTTTGCAGTCTCTTCCACTCGAGCTGCCGTTGCCTTGTCATGTTATGGTCACGATATATTTACTTGCTTCTCACACACACATACTTACATATACCCTTGCTGTAATCTTGCCAATAGGGCCTTTGCTCTGAATCTCTTATATATTTCGACATTGCAACCACACGACGACTCAACCATGTCAAGTCCAGCTGCGGCTCTGCTCTAATCCCAGTGGCCATGCCTGCAAATCGGTGACGTCGGTGTGCAGCGGCTCTAGCATGCGATCAACGACGAGCTCTTCTCCGCAAACCCCGGACATGCGGGCGTGCGGCCTGCGCCGGCTAACTTTGAGCTGCCTCGGCATGCGGGTGGCGGTCCATGGCCAACTGGCTTGGATACAATCGCATCCTGTGGTTCCCTTTTTTCCCACACATATTTTTGACAATGGCCTCGTTCTCACGATCCCTACGACCGCTCACCCGTGTTGCTACGGCTTCGTCGCGTTCGCTGGGACCAGCAGTCCGCCCCGCCCGGCAGTATGTCTTGAATCCACCGAAAAAAAGTGACCAACATGGCCTAAGCAAAAACTAACGCGATGCCGGGCCAGAATACGATGTCTCTCCTTGACTCCTTCCAGGCGAGAAGCTGTCGATATCTCAGATGTGCCACCGACACCCATCACTCACCTCTCTGAGACCGAGATGCTCATGGGCGACTCGGTGTCCAAGTTTGCCAATGATGTCGTACTGCCTAAGGCTCGAGAGATGGATGAGGCTGAGGCTATGGACCCAGCAGTAGTCGAGCAGCTGTTTGAGCAGGGACTTATGGGCATCGAGATACCCGAAGAGTACGGTGGCTCGGGCATGAACTTCACCTCGGCCATCATCGCCATCGAAGAGCTGGCGCGCGTCGATCCCAGTGTGAGCGTTATGTGCGACGTACACAACACGCTGGTCAATACTGCCATTCTCAAGTGGGGCTCCGAGAAGCTCAAGAAGGAGTGGCTGCCCAAGTTGGCCACCAACACAGTTGGGTCGTTCTGTCTATCTGAGCCCGTCTCTGGCTCTGACGCCTTTGCGCTCGCCACCAAGGCCACGCGAACAGACAATGGCTACAAGATCAACGGCAACAAGATGTGGATTACCAACAGCGTTGAAGCAAACTTCTTCATTGTCTTTGCCAATCTCGACCCCAGCAAGAAGTACAAGGGCATCACTGCATTCATTGTTGAAAAGGGCACCCCCGGCTTCTCCATTGCCAAGAAGGAGAAGAAGCTGGGTATCAAAGCCAGCAGCACCTGCGTTCTCAACTTTGACGACGTTGAGATTCCCAAGGACAATTTGCTAGGCAAGGAATTCGAGGGCTACAAATACGCCATTGGGCTGCTTAATGAGGGCCGCATTGGTATTGCAGCACAGATGACCGGTCTAGCACTGGGTGCTTGGGAGAACGCAGCAGGGTGAGTCTTACCGTCATGGTTCCATTGTGAGTGGCCAGACGCTAACAGTTATAGATACGTATGGAACGACCGCAAGCAATTTGGCCAACTCGTTGGCGAGTTCCAGGGCATGCAGCACCAGCTCGCCCAAGCCTGGACCGACATTCAAGCTGCTCGCGCCCTTGTCTTCAACGCCGCCCGTAAGAAGGAGGCTGGTGAGGACTTCGTCATGGATGCGGCCATGGCCAAGCTTATGGCATCGCAGGTCGCCGGACGTGTATCCGGGCAAGCAGTCGAATGGATGGGCGGAATGGGCTTCGTAAGAGAGGGCCTGGCTGAAAAGTACTTTAGGGACAGCAAGATTGGCGCCATTTACGAGGGAACAAGCAACATCCAGCTGACGACTATTGCGAAGCATTTGCAGAAGAAGTACACGAAGTAGATGATTAGTAGAACGACCAACCTACTAAAAAATGGACCAAAATATTGGCTTGCTTGAAAGCCACGTGGAACATTTTATGGTTACGCTTCCATATATTTTTCCTTTTTTTGCTATATGTTTGTTTTTCGTCCACCCTGCAACGCCAGCGCAGAGTGATTTACTACTAGATCGCGGGATCGATTCAAGCATGCTGGAGATCACGAGTGATATCACACCACGGGCAGTGCCCAGTGCTCCCGCGGCAAAACGACATGGTTGACTTCCGCAGTGACGCCGCTGCATCCTCGGACCAAACGACCGCAGCATGTTCTCTACTTGCTGTAAGGGGATATACTCTAATTATTAGCAGCATTAGCATATTAACACCGCATAGCACTGCAGAAGCGATGCGAACCATGGTCACTGCGTACATGTGCACATGCTGAGGGGCATGCACATGCGATCTTGTCTCCCCACCCTCGACCTACCAAGGCGCCAGAGATTCGTGGCGGCCAGCCCGGCACGACAGTAACCCAACCGTCCAGGCTTATCCATGCATTTGAGGCGCGCCAATACCCTCGATCGGAAAATATCGCGAAGAACCATGGGTCTGCCTTATGGAACCCCCGGGCTGTATATCGTCATACCTGCGCCTGGTGTGAACCGCTGCTGCCCATCAGGTCAGCTTTTGCACTTCTCAGTCCCAGGCTGCGTGTATCCCTATTATTCTCAAGACAACTATCTTGTTTTTCTACGTACATGTTCTGATTGAAGTCGATCCAAAATCCCAAAGTCTCCTCATCTCCTTCCCCATTCCTATCACATCCCTGTTTTTCCTCGTCCCAGTCCCGCTTCTTGCGTGACGGTGGCCCACAACGCACCACCTTCTTAACCCCATCCGTTCCAGTGTCCCAACGCCATCGCTACCGGGGCTGTCGGAATAGTTCTTCCCCCAGCCACATTGAACGAAGAGTTTTGGCCGTTATCTGGCATAAGTCGCAACTTGGTCACCTCATGGTCGTGTAACCAACGCCCACGATGGCGCCAGGTTCCGAGGCCAAGGACAAGGACCCTCTAAGTGCCAGCCGCACGCGTTCGGGACTAGAGGACATTCTGCCTACTAATTTCCTCGATATGCAAAAATGCGCTGGCAGTCTTCCCAAAGAGAACAAGCCAAAGTCGTCTCCACGCTCGCGGCCATCTGCCACCCCACAGTCCAGCGTGTCACGATCCGTATCGTCCATGTCAAGCAGTTTCATGCAGGAACACTGGGGCCGCTCCTCGCCCTATACTTCCAAACCTGAACACGATGGAGAAGATACCCACAATCCACAGTCCAAGGAGGAGGATGCCCCCCACGTTATAGCCAACTGGGCCCATCTATCTTACATCAAGGCCCAACGTAATACGCTTCGCGCCGAACTGAAAGCACATCAGATTGCGGGCGCTGAGGCAAAGCGGTCAGTGTCGTCGTTACGTCGTCTGGCCTTTCGCATGGCCGTTAGTATATCCGTGAAGGAGAAACAGATTGCGACTACTGCCCGGAACCTTGCCAAGAGCAGAACAAACCACTATCTCGAAGGTAGAGATGCACAGAATAGAGTTGAGCAGTTGCAGCGGGCGCTGCGAATCGAAGAGGACCGCAATAAGGAGATTCTCGCAGCATTGGAAAGGGCCTCCATGCTGACACTTCAATGTAAGTTAGCTGCACTCTGGTATTAGCTTTTCTAATCAGTGTCACAGATTCAACTCCAAAAGAGGAGCCACGCCATAATCATGGAAACAGTTTCCTTTCCCCGCCTCCATCTCCACCAACACGCTCGAGCGCTCCTGATAGCCCGTTCGGCTCTCCCAAGACTCCCACACGATCGTCCACGTCTCCATGGCATGATGTCGAATTTCCGCTCACTCCTCGCCTCGGAAGTGCATTCGAGATTCGCACGTCTGACAGTCGCTTGATACGAGCCAAGCGTGAATCAGATCAAGCTCTTGCTGCATGCCGGAGGCGTATAGAACAACTCCAAAGTGAGTGCGCAGAGAGCAAGGAAGATGGAAGGCTTTTGGCAGCGACCAAAGCCGGATTGGAGCAGGAGATGCGGCATCACCAATCTCAAATTGCTACTCTAGAGCGCTCAAGAAGCAGTTTAGCCAAAGAGTTGGAAGCTACCAAGGTCCAGCTGCACATGGCTGTAGACTCAGAAGAACTTTTGAAACAAAAACTGCAAGACAAGATTGACGAACTCGCAGCATGGGACCAGAAGAATGCAGATACGACGCACACAATTGACCTGCTACAGAAGGAAAATATTGAACTTGATGAGCATGTCCGGATGCAAACTAACCAGGTCGAAGAATTGAAGACTCGCACTTCTGCTCTTGAGCAGACGTTACGCTCCATACACGATGAGCTCGGTACCGTTCAGCGCAATGAATCATCGCTTCGAGACCGCCTTGCACAAAAAGAGAATGAGTGTGAAGATTTGCAGAAGAGAGTTGACCAGGGGTTAGAAGATATTCGAACCCTTGAGCAGAAACTTAACACGTACGACGGGGAAGCCGTCGAGCATGCCCGGAAGATCGAGATAGGAGGAAATGTCATTGCTCAGTTGCGTGAACAACTGCACAGTGCAGAAGCTGCGAGCAAGGATGCTCAGAATGCTTCGGCAGACATGAAGAAGGAGTTGGAGCTGTTGCAGAAGAAGCTGCGTACCGAGACTGAAGCACGTGATGGTTTGGCGAGTGAACTCAAGGACGTACAGAGTGGAAAGACTAGGGTGGAAAATGAGTTGCTCGCCACCGTGGAACTTTTGCACCAGGAAACGAAGGCAAAGGAAGAGCTGGAGGAGAAGTTGGAAAAGTTACGCACATCTTACAACGACACAGAAACCAAACTCCAGCAAGCTCTTGAGCGCGTTCAAGCGTTGGAGGCAGCTGATGGTGTCGCCCAAAGGAAACTGGAGGTGCTACGAGAAGAGAAATCCATACTTGAAGCTAACATTGAGAATGCACGGCAGCTCAGATTTAAATTTGGTGAGGATGTCCGTATGAAAAACAATGAGCTTGCAGAGATGAAATCGACGAGTGCGGGCTTACAAGAAAAGCTCCGACAGTCACAAAAGCAGACATCATCACTCCAGAAAGAACTGGAGCACATGCGCAATGCAAAGCAAGAAAGCGACGACCAGCGCGCTGCCGAAATGGAGAAGAGCAACGAACATCTCCGAGAACTCGAAGCCTCGATTCTCAACCTCCGATCTGTTCTAGAGTCATCAGAGAAACTAGAAGTGTCTCTTCGCGAAGAGCTTGGTCATCTACGAGAATCCAAAAGAAGTACTGAGGGCGAGCTTGAAGAGGCTCGTCATGTCAAAGCGGAACTTGAGGGTCAAGTTTGCGAAGCCCAGTCGCAGCTCAGGTCAACGCAAAGCGAACGTGATAGCTTGCAAACTAAGATTGGAGAATTGGAGAACAACTTGACAAAAGGCCAAGAATCCAAGTCGCTCCTTGAAGAACAGTTAGCCGCATCAACTACAGAAATTAGTGCGCTCAAGAATCGGTTATTAGATCTGGAGGCTGCACTAAAGGAGAGTGATGATGCGAGGGCGAAGGCTGAAATAGCTTTGTCGGCTGCGCAGTCAGACAGCGATACGATCGCTTCAAATCTTGCGAATATTCGCAAGCAAGCCCATGACACGGATATGGCCAAAAATCAACTACAAAAAGAACTTGACGAAGCCATGAGCTCCAAGTCAGATCTAGAAGTTCAGTTACGCTCTGTGCGGGACGATCTAGAGAAATCTGAATTGGAAGTGAATGACATTCAGGTAAAGCTATCTACTCTACAAATTCAAATCATGGACCTTCAACAATCGAAACAAAACGCCGAAGAAAGCTTGACTTCTCTTCGAGAATCTCATTCGGAGCTTGATGAGAAGCTGCAAAGCACGCAGTCCCAACTGCAAGAAGCTCATTCCCAGATCTCACAGCTCGAAATGAGACTTGAATCTAGTGAGGAAGAGCTGGAAGCCATGTGTCGAGCAAAGGCAGCTGTTGAGAAGCGACTCGAACATACGCATGCCGATAATGCGCGTCTGGAGGACGAGCTTAGACTTGCTCGACAAAGCAATGAAACTATCAAAATTCGACTCGACAACACAGTGGATTTGAACAGCGAGTTGAAGGAGAACCTCACTGCAGCTCGCTCAGAGACGGATAAGGCAAACATTCAAAATGGTAAACTTACATCACAACTAAGGGAAGCCGAAAGAGAACTAGAAAAACTTCGGCAGCTCAAGGGTGATGTAGAAACGAGGCTGAGCAAAGCCTTGGAGGTCTCAGCAAGTATGGAACAAAACCTTTCTTCGACTCGCTCCCGCCTTGATGAGCTTGAATCGCAAAACTCTTCTCTCAACACCGAGCTTGCCAATGCTAGGACAGAGCTAGATGCTGTGCGACAAGCGAGAGCAGAGTTGGAAGCTAAATTCGAGGGGTCTGAACGCCACAACGAATCCCTCCAAGAGGATTTATCTGGCATGCATTCACGGGTAGCTGAACTCGAAGCCAGCTGTGCCAACTTGGCTTCTCAAATGTTGGCAAGTGATCAAGAGTTAAATAGCCTGAGACTGGAACATGCCGAGCTTGAGGAGTCCTCGCAAAGTACATCCAGTCAAACTAATGAGCTACAGCTTGAACTCCGCGCAGCTCAAATGCGTCTCGAAATTGCAGAGTCTGAGAGCTTAGAAGCATTCAGCAAGCTTCTCGAAGCCGACAAAGAACTTGTGTCACTTCGTGATACGAACGTCAAACTTGAGGCTTTTGAAAGAGAACTCAACTCACGTCTTGCTTCAGCGGAAGAAGAATTGAAGAATGCGCGCCAGACGAATGCCGACCTGGAGGCTTTCCTTGAAAGTGTCGAGTCAGATATAGCCAATGCCTATTCCGCCGTCGAGGATACTGAGAAGCGCTATCTGGAGTTTGTGAAGGACTCTGAAGTTAAGCTTGAGGCTGCGAACAGTTCCAAGTCACGATACAGGACTCGACTTTGCGAGAAGAACAGCGAGCTTGAGACTCTTACCAAAGAGAACTCTGATCTACACCAACAGATCGATAGCCAAACCCAGGAAATTGATGCCTTGGAGAAGAGCAAAGAGGAGCTAGCGGAGGAGATATCGAAAAAGGAGAAGTACATTAAAGAAATTGGGTCATCAGCCGATGAGCGAATGAGATCAATGAATGCCGCGTACAACAGCCTCAAGAAGAATTACGAACAAGAGCACCAACAATTGGGAAGCGACCACGCAAACACAGTTCGCCTAGAAGCCGAACTGGCAAGAAAAACGACAGAACTCGACCAACTCCGCCATGACCAAGAAACGCACACCACCTCCTTCGCAGCCCTCCAACAACAACTCGCCTCCCTCCAAGTTGACAAACAAACCTTCGAATCCCTCATCTCCACCCTTCAAGAAAAGCTAAAGCTCCTCGAGCTCCTCGAAGAATGGTCCACAACCCCTGCTACCTCTCCTCACACCCCTCATCCCGCCACCCACTCCACCGCCCCCTCCACCCCCAAATCCTCCCACCCAACCCACACCAGCACCCCAAACACCAGCCCGCGCCCCGAAACCCGCGCAAGTACCCTATCCCGCGACCCCGACGACCTGTGGGCCCACCAAGTTGAGCAGGCCCGCCTCCAACGCAGCGAAACAGCACTCCAACTGCGCGGCTTGAAGACGTCGCAACACCATCTCAAGAAGACGCTGCGGAGTACGGATAAGGAGTTGAATCGGCTGGAGAGGGAGAAGAGTAAGCGAATTCCGAATTTACTGAGGAAGAGGAGTAGGCCGTTTAGTGCGAATGCGGCTGCATGGAGCGATGGGGAGGGGATGGGGGAGAAGGAGGGGAAGGAGAAGAAGAGGATATCGCATGGTTTAGGCCTTTTGACACGGCGGAGTACCCACTTTGGGAAAGGAGAGAGTGAGGAGCATGGGAAGAGACCTGTTGGACGGAGGGTGGTTAGTGTGGGGGACGAGCTAGGTGGTGGTGCGAGGGGGAAGGGGAAGGAGGGGAGGAGGTGGAGTGTTGGGCTTAGGGGATTGTTTCATCGGGATGCGTAGGATAGGTTCCTTTCTTTCTTTCTTTCTTCTTTCTTTCTTTTGGTTTAAGGACGGGTTGGTTAGATGGGAAACTCGAGCTCGCGCTCGGAGGGTTACAGTGATATCCAGGGTCATCGGGCGTTTGTGATTTTCTTCTTCTTCTTCTTCTTCTTCTTCTTGGGAATGTAAGAGTAGGGATGTTGTGTTTGTAGTGTGTGAGTGGAGATGCGGAGCTAGTGGGGTTGGATACCTGGTATGCTGTTTACCCACTTGCTTGATTAATTGGTAGAGCTAGATAGGATTGGATAGCGAGGAATGTGTAAGACGGTCTTTGTGGCTGTAACCAGAGTTAGGGGATTTTAGTATTCGTCACGTAATTAAACACCAAGTCAGGCAGATTCCTCGTATTTTTGAATAGCTCAACGAGGGCAGTGAACAAGACATTACATTTCTTTCGTCTGCAAACTTAATAGTAGTGTTATTCTAATCAAGTAAAACGCACCTAGCACATTTACACTAGGCACTGCATCTCGAACTGAAAGGGTTCAGACATTACTACGCTCCCTGAAACTGTCTATAGTTTGTCTTCATCATAGTGCCACGCACTTCTAACCTCGCGTGTTCTATATTTTAATCTAATTGATCAAGATACCGCTTGCCTTTGCCTTTTGGCACTCAGGACCCAGGCGGGGGTCGATCTTGTTGCCAGCCACCGAGATGTATTGGATCGACTTGCTAGCGCACAGGTCCTCGGGGACGGTACCTGTGAGCTGGTTGTACGAGAAATCGACAGCCGTGAGGTTAGGCAAGAGGCCGAAGCCCAGGGGGATGGGGCCGGTGAGGTTGTTGGTGGCGAAGCTGAACTCCTGGAGCGACCGGACTTTTGTCAGGCTGGCGGGGATGGGGCCGGTGAACTGGTTCTCGAGGAAGCTGGCGGCTCTGAGACTCTGGGAGTTGGCAAACATGTCGGGGATGGAGCCGCTGAAGCGGTTCACGCGGACCATGAGGACCTCGAGATTGGGTAGGGAAGACATGAGGTTTTGGGGGAGGGGGCCGGTGAACCGGTTGTTGCCGACGTCGAGGTAAACGAGACCACTGTTGCTGAGTACGTTCTTAGGGAAGCTGCCGCTGAATTTGTTCTGGCTGATGTCGACTTCATATAGGTATTTGCTGTTCTTGAGGTTGGGGACAGAACCGCTGAAGCTGTTGTTGAGGACATGGAGAAGGGCAAGATCCGGCAAATTCTCAATGAAGTGGTTCAGCTTAAGGTTGCCGGTCAAGTGGAGGTCGTTGAAGTCGATGGAAGCGAGGCTCAGGACACCATTGTCGGGATTTTCGGCGCAGTAAAATCCAATCCATTGGCAAACATCGGAGCCGGTCCAGTTTGCGAGGATCTCTGGGGGGCCAGTAACCGTCTTACGGAAGGCGACAGCGGTAGCCAAATCTCGCACCAGATTGGCAGGAAGAGCAGCAGCGTTTTGCGGCTGAACGAGCGGGTGGGGAGCAGCCTGCGCCAGGGCCATCAGGGAGGAGACAATGAGTGACAACATTTTGTAATGCGTGGTTAATGAGAGTGAGGGCTCGATTGAGTATTAAGCAGACGAAACGAAGGACTGTTCGGATCTGAACGTGCGTATCCTATTCTTTTCTCTGCTCAGCAGTACGAACAAGTTATATATGACAGAATCATATCCCTGAGGCTCCCTGACCAAATGGGCCATGTTGTGAGGTGTTGTAATAAGCCCGAAATGAACACCCGAAACGTGCGCTAATCGTTCTGGTTACCATGCTATGGCGCCGTTTTTTGGGTAGAGCGCCTTGGCACAGTGCTGACGACATTTAGGTGCTAGATGCCGCTCGGACCCTGAGAATCTCAATTTGAGTATCTCAATTGTTTCTTGTTGGCGATGTACGAATGATGTCTAGCGTGGCCCTGGCTGCCTCAAACTCGAGCCTATCTCTTGAACAGGACAACACATGCGTGCATCTTTTGGCCGGACACACAGCACTTGTATAGCCAGCCGCTATGAAGTTGGCCCAACGTGAGCAAAGTTGACTGATGTAAGATTACGAACCTTGTACATTGCTCGGTGAATTCCATCTAGAAAACCTCTTTAGACTTAATCCACCAATGAGCATAAACAGATTTTCGATAAGTGTGATCACATTAAAAGCTCAGATCCTGCGAATGATGAGCATCTGGGATATTTGGTTCATTGCTGACTGAAACATTAATCTACTCACCAACGTATAGTATAGTACGTATCTGATATTTCAGAGCGGGAACTAAGTAACGGCCCCATAATATAGTTCATCGTACAAAGTACATACAAAGTGTGCGATAATTGATATCACTTGGTTCTCCACTCGCTTCTTTTTCTCACAAGGTAGGTAGGCTAAGTAAGTATACTCTGGAGAAAGGTCGTGGCTGTCAGAAAGCTTGACTCGTGGCTGACATGCGCCAACTATTCTTTTCTCCCTGGGATTGTGTGGACCACTACTATTCTTGGGCAGTAAACAGCAAACGTTTGCGTGGTCTGCAACTTTCTGATAGTAGGTTAGCGAAAGAGTTCATACAAATATAATGTGGTTTATCGAGGCGCAAGGCAGTGCTTGAAGATATAGCACATTTCATCTGGCACTGCTATTACGCGAAAAGACTCTTAATCGTTGACAGAGTTTTCGATATATACATTTGCAAAGCAGTCAGATTGATCGGGTGATGAGTTAAGGGGTACAAAATGGCATACGAACTAGTTACTATGAAAGGGCCTATGTAAGCATATCGGCATTCAAATGTGGTTAGGCTTGCTGATGATTGGTAAATTACTCATAAGCACCAAAGTCAAGCTAGGGCCAAGCTTGGCTGATTACGACAAGCCTTGCTCCACCACCTCGAGCCAGGGATACGCTTGTAGGTTTAAGAAAGCCTTCTAAATGGGTGATTTTACTCAAGTATGTGAGATTCCACAAACTCTCTTTATGAATTTCTGCCAATAACTCGTCAGGAGATCAACCAAGTATAGACGGGCCGATAATCGGATCCAGACGGACCGGAAACTAGCCTTGTGAACGGGCCGTGTCTGACAGCCACCGGGCCACATCATGTCATCGGGATATTGCAGAAGTTTGAACTTTAGAATCAAGGTGAGTGAATGATCGCTAGTCATTTTCGATGCAGTCTAACAACTTTGCTCGGAATGATTGTCGCAGGCGCTCCATTGCAACTCAGATACACTTGCTGGTGTGGTTTGGGTTCAAAAGCCCTACAGGCGCAGTTAGTACGACATACTATTCATTTATTGATTCAACACGTCCGCAATCTTTGCCTCTCATATTCGTTGTCGGTCGCTACGTTGCAACAACTGACGTTCCATGAGAGAGGTACAAAAACAGTGAAGCAGAATATAATTTTATATTTTTTCATGAGATGAAGTTCGTATGGCATCGAGTCGAGGTATTCCAAGGTGTTCGCTTTGCATAGAAATTATGTGACCGTGGCTTCGGCATATTATACATTCTATAGGGGAGTTCGGCACTTTATAGTCACCCTGTCTACTTTTGAACATCATAGCTGGTTCACTGTGAAACTACACCGGGTTAGCATGTCATATGTGATTATCGATGTTGATTGAACTATAACTAGTACTTGCTATAACGGATATCTCTGGTCTCTCATCATTTTTTTCTCTACTGCGAAATCCCCATAGATCCATACCCGGCTGAACTGATTCTGGGCAATTCTTCTCTCAGATCCCTCCGCTGCACATGTCTACGACCTGTCTTGTTCCTTTCTCTGGCCAATTCCCAACACTGTACAGAACATACACCACCAGCTTGACTTTCGTGATTAACCTTATTTCAGCGAAAAGCCGAACGAAAATCTAGTCATCAAGTTAGCAACGGTCAACAATCAAACGCCAATAGATTTCTGTAGGGGCGGCTGATTCCGAGCTAAATCTTGCTAAGCTTAGAATACCAATCGCAAGTTACATGACCATGCTAGTAAGTCATACGATATCAAGCAAGTAACACAAGATTTGCGTACCAAATCATTCCGATGTTTACCTAGTCCAGCCATCATCACGACGATATCCATTGGAATCTAGAGTAAGATCTGGATTTGGACAAAAGCAGGCTTCTGAAAAAAGCTATTTCCTGAGTCATTCCAGTTGAGACTGCATGTTTCTAGGGTCCGACATCCGTTCCGCCTCAAAAATACACACAGCATGATTGTCATAGATAATATACACGTTGCACAATCATAGGTCTCGTTATAGTAAATCAAAAATTCATTGAAATTAAGTAGCATTCTCTGGGTAGTATCTAACCGAGCATCTGTATGAACCCATCTGCTTTTCACACGTCCGATATAGATATTCGGGGGTTTCTATCATTTAAAATCACAAGCTCTTTGGTCAGAATCTGTTCTAGGAATGATGACAGAAGGCATATATAACATACAAATTGCAAAATCGCACGCGAATTTGGTCTTCGGGGCGCCTGTCGCCATCACCATATTCGGTTGTTGTGTAATCGAAATTTGAACGTAGTTCCGTGGCTGAGAGCTCAGTAAAACCACAGATCCTCCAACAGTTCCTTTGCTGTGGGCCTATCCCTTGAATTCATTCTCATAATCTTGCAGCTGAAGCTTCTATCCTCCACCGTAAGTTCCGGGCCTTCAGCCATCGCGAAAGGCTTCAACAATCTATTTTGCTTGAGGTAGCAACTGGGGATTATAAGGGTACTTTGCGACTCTTCATCAGCAATCCCTATAACTCATAGGGAAAGGGCCGAATATATATGCTTGCTTGGCCAGAACATGGGCGGGGAATTCTGGGTCATTCACCGAATGACACTTAGGTAGGAAGATATGTCAGTTTCTACTCCATATAGGACTTATAAGCTGCAAGGAATATTCAGCAGTCTTACAACCAGCGAGCGCATTATTGAAGAAACTTACTGTGGCACCAAAAGATCAAATGTCCGTACCCTACCGGAGTTGGAGGTTTGCTTCAGGACTGCGAAAAATCGCTGCACCAATGACGTGACCAACTTCGAGCGGGTCCGCATTTGGGTCAACACAATATGCGTCTGCACAGTCACTCAGCTCCAATTTGCTGAACCGATTTGTCCCGTGGCCATATTTGACGAAGATGTTGTCCGGTTTGACATCTGTAGCTTAGTCAGTCACCTCTGATCCTCTCGAAGATGCAATCCTTCTAATCTGACCTGTATGCACATAGCCTGCTTCGTGGAAGGTATTCAATGCTTCAAGGGCTCCTTTTGCTACGAACTTAATCTCTGACCTCTTCAAATTTCTTATATTCGAGGCCTTGAGCACGTTATGCTAGAGGAATTTTAAGACCAGAGCTGGAGGCTCGTCGATCTGAGTAAGCAATGGTCGAATGTGTGGGCAATGCTAAAACATGCTCAGTATCTCCCGTTCATCGTCAAGGAGTTTTACAGGTGCGGTCTTGATGATAACCATTCTCTTGTTTGTACTGCTTCCCAGATTAGTATTATTGAATGACTGCTAAGCGCGGTGCTTACCTGGCAGTCCCAACATTCTTATGTAGACTCCTCAAAACTGTATACGTCCCCAGACGCCCCTGCAACCGTTGGCAATCTTGAGTGCCACAGACATATTTGCCGGAGGTATTATTTCCTGGTGGACTGAAAGAAATGGAGGCGGGCTTACTACCTAGACACTATCACAGAATGTACAATTCTGGTATCTTGGCATGGCTGCGGCCAGTGAAAGCAGAAATTTCTTAGCGCCAGTCATATCGCGTTTGCTTGTGCCCGAAATACCTCTGGGACTAATCGTAAGACCATACAAGACCCGTAGAATATCCGCCCAATAATCGCTTACTTGTCAGTGAGCAGAGGCACCTCACAGTTCTCTATACCCGAAGAATCTTAATATTATTATCAACGCTCAGATGTTAATCCTTTAATCCCAGCTTTTAAAATTGATACCCATAATATTGTACCTATCACTGGTCACTATGTCTTCTGAATCAGTTGAGCTAGATCGATCATCGTCGTTTTCGACCTTCCGTCGCCCAATCTGGCTAGGCTCTCTAAAACCCCGCAGTCATATGGAACAGGACAATGATCTCACAATCGTCTTATCCAAGCTACCCTTACTATCTATTTGCCTGTTCACTCAACTTTGCGGCTAAGCTGGGGAGATACCGAGTATGCAAGGCCCTCAACACTACAGTTGGCAAAGAACACCAGTTGGCGAAGACATAAACGACAAACTCTCTAAAGATTAAAGGAAATATCAAAGCTGATGCATGGATATGACATCATTAATTTTATTCAAGCGATAACAGTAAGCGAATACGTACTACAGGCCACTGCAATCATTGCAAGGGCGCTACATCTCAACAGGAAAATTACCCGATTCGTACTATGCTATTTACATTTCCAGATACATAGAGAAAACGCACTAAGAAATGATGTGCAGAATGAATGCACTCAATTTTGTTGAAATACAACCCCGCACCTGACCGGGAGACACAGAATCTGACATTTCCTTCTTCACATGCACATGTCATCTGAAACGATGGACTTCAACTCAACCACGAACAAGCTCATGCAGCTCGAGGCGCTACTGCATTCTGCACTAGCCACACTGGGAGTATCAAGCGTAAATTACAAGAACTCTCTTCCTCCAAGAGCGCTGTTCGATGCCCAAAGAACGATTCTCGCTGCAGTTGGTATGATCACTGAACTAGTGAGTACGCCGAGCGTACGTCTTCTGGAAGTATCTATGCAATATTTCGAGGCACGAGCTTTACACATAACAGCTGAAAAGCGGATCCCAAACATGCTTGCTGGCTGTGATGAGAACGGTGTCGCGGTCAAAGAGCTGGCAGAGCAAGCGGGTTGCGACGCCCTGAAACTATGTTAGTATCGCCAGTATATGCGGAAGGCCTCGGCCGTGTTTGTTGACCTTTACATAATGGTAGCTCGAATTATGCGTTGTCTTTGCTCCATACACATCTTCAAGGAAGTGCAGCCTGACCGGTTTGCGAATAATGAAGTGTCAGCTGCCTTGGTAAACAACGAGCCTCTCAGGGCATATATTGTAATGTTGTATGTCTGCTTGGGCTCTCATAAGAAGACAACACTGAATATCCATGTGTAGCGCATTCGACCTGTACTCTGCTTCAGATCATCTACCTAGATCTCTTTTCGATAAGAAAATGGGCCCTTCATACGATGTCGCAGAGACTGCCTTCCAAAAAGCTTTAGGCACCCACAAACCAAGATGGGAGTGGTTCGAAGACAAGATTACCGTGCAAAATTTGCTGGACGGCCGTTGCGGGACTGACGGAGGACAAAGCGGATATCCTGGTCCTTTCGGCTCCGAGCTGGACAAGGCAGTGGAAGGCAAGGCTGGATCTGAGCTGATAGGCCGGCCAGAATTGCCCATCTTTGGCCTCGCAATGGTTGGAGGAGGTAGAGTCCTTGGGAAGGCTCATCTCTATGGTGCGTATCCCAAATCATACCGAGAATTTTCAGCAGCTAACAAAATAGCTAGACTATCCTTGGGAATCGCTAGGCTCCGCTTGTGTCGTCGATGTGGGAGGAGGCGTTGGTGGATTCTGTCTCCAACTTTCGCAGGTCTACCCGCAGTTGCGATTTGTCATACAAGATCGCGCACCGGCGCTGGAGCAGGCAGAGACGGTAATTTGGCCTAAAGAAAATCCAGACGCTATTGCACAACAAAGGGTGCAGTTCTATCCGCATGACTTTTTCGAACCAAACCCGGTAAAAGAAGCCGAAGTGTATTGGCTTAGATATATCATGCACGATTGGTCAGACGAGTACTGCGTCCGCATTCTGAAAGCCATCAAGCCTAGCATGGGCCCACGATCACGGATTCTGATCTGTGATCAGGTCATGAACACGACGCTGGGTTCGGAAGAGCTCACTGCTGCACCCTCTCCTTTGCCTGCTAACTGGGTAAGTTGATGGCCTAATTAAGTGCATTTGATACTGACTTGATAGGGGTATTACACGCGTTACTCGCATCAACGCGACCTCGCGCTTATGGCAGCGATAAACGGTATTGAACGCACGCCTCGTGAATTCCGTACTATTGTTGAGAAATCGGGATTAAAGCTACTCAAGATATGGGACTGCCGCAGTCAGGTTTCATTAGTAGAGGTTGTACTGCCTGAGTCAGAACTATTGTAAAGAAGAAGAGGGAAAAGAAGGCAGAAGGGAAAAAAAGAAGCATGAGGCTACCGACTACGAGACGAAGGTAGGGTCCATTTGGGAGACCAAGAGCTTCAATGTTTTGCTGGGGATGAGAATTTTCAATCAGAATCATTCATAATACAGAGTTCAACTATGGACGTATCATATGCATGTTTTCATGTCAACTTGTTTAAGCAATTTTAGCACCAAATGAAACCCCTAAAAATGAGACATTCTAATGCACTTTCAATACAAGTAATCACAGACTCACTTTTCATTCAATCATCTTCTTCCAAATAGATTTTTTCGCATATATAAATGGGAAGAATGCGATCAGTCAGTAAGCACAAGCATAGGTACACAAGTTGTCTTCCTGCAATCGTCAACAACATCACGCCCTAAAACAGCTCATTCACATCCCAATTTCTTCCCTCGCGGATAATTGCCTTACTCAGCTCAACCCTCCTCCATCCATGGCAACACCAAATGTTTGAGCCTCTCAACCCCATCTCTGGGCCCTAACTCCCAAATCTCGTATCGACATCCACCACTTTTCTTCTTTCAATCGCCACCACAAACAACACAGCACGTCAAAGCACCACTCCGCCTCTCCTCGCCCCACTCACCCTCACCGCCTTCCTCATCCAATCGCCCCTATCCACAAAACACAAACACAACGCCCTAGCATCTCGTCAAGAAGAGAAAGAAAAACACACAGACAGCGGGGCCACCGACCACATCGAGACCCTGCCGCATCATCCCCTACGTATCACAAGCACATTCTCGCCATCCAATCCCTCATGACCATTTTAACCCCCTGTTTCCCACACATTTACGTACATATATACGTATGGACATGCTTGTTTGGCCCCCACACGCTAATTCTCCTCCACGTTACACAAAAAAACTGTTTTTTGGCCGCTCAACGGGCGTGGGGCTGCTACTGTTGTGTCACCGTGGCACAAGTGCGATGGTAGATCAGCGGGCTATGTGGCATGGGGTCTTCCCAGACAGGGTAGGTATGTAGCACAGTGAGTGAAAGGCCCATTTATTCTGTATTTTTGTGCGCCCGTTGAGTGACGAGTGACTGCAGCGTTTTTGGGAGATGTTAGGGGAACGGGGAGGGAAGAGGCTGGCTGCATGTTTCTGTGGATTGGGCTGGGGTGTGCGTGGGAGGGCTCTGTTTGCATGTTAGGGGTATATGTGGTTAGAGAGGAAAGAAAAGGGTGGGGGGAGATGATCTTTGTAAATAGTGTGGCTGGGGATGAATTAGGGGTTTTGGTTTGGCTCTTGCTAGGAGGTGTTGCCTCTTTACTTGTTCTTCCATGTTTCTGTTCGTCGTGGAATTGATGCCAGAACAATTGATCGATTTTAGATGACTTGAAATTCACTCAGTTAAAAAATGGTCAACGAGTTACTTGCGCGGAACATGTGAATATAACTGATGATTATCATTATTCTCTATCTGCATACGATCAATCGACACAAAAATATCTGATACATAGCTGTTCGTGTTTCATATCAAGAAATGCGTGCGCAATCTAGCCGATATGCACACCGAGCGTGTCCGAATGCTGGCAATAAAAGACTTTTGCGAAAAGAGTGGCCCTGACGTTGTGTCTCTCTTCTGAGAAGAGACGGGGAGTAATGTTTCGTTAATGCGCGAACAAAAAGAGAAATCTGCGAGCGCAATAAGAACAATGCGCGATTGGAAAAGAAGAAGAAAACATAGTGAAAGCCGACGGAAGTTGCAGAAGGCATGTATGGTATATGTTGAGTGGGCACAAATGCAATGAAAACGACAACGGTAATAGAAAATTCAAAGAAGACGGTCCAGCAGTGTCTGCCAATTTTCGGAAGGGAGATAGCGGCTCGCTTTCACTGAGGTCGAGAATACCAGGAATCAAGTTCGTGCTTTCTGAGACGCTTCATCAGGCTCAATCTGGGTGGAGATTTGGTATCGGATAATCAAGGCCAAGCTTGATTCGAAAAAACTTGCCAGCCCCCGATCAGCAGTAGCGGATGTGGATTCAGGAAGCATCGCAAGAATCACTGGGCTCGATTTATCCGAAGAAGCGCAAAAGATTGGGCGCCGTTAATAGGTGGTGTTCAGGCTGCCTACAGAGGTGCGTTGCAACCGCGTGCTTCGGCCATGACATACATCACGATGGGGTTTGCGGCTGCTGGATGAGTTCTGAGGTGGAGAGTGATTCAACGGAGTATAGCGATGACTAGTGCCTAACGGGTGATTGCTCGGCAAGTCACCAGCCGTGGAGTTCCGCTTCGCTGAGTGTCTGCTTTCAAAGCTGTGAATGTTTGATTGAGTATCTCCTGGTGCAATCTGGTGACTTCCACGGACACAAGAGTACGCGGTGGCTTGTGCAGATGCGCTCGTTCCATCGAGAAGACCCGAGGTGCTAAAGGCCAACTCAAGCTGAGAGCTCGTGCTTGTTGTGGTTATGTCCCCCGTCGTAGGAAAGTAGCTGATTGGGTTTTCTGTGCTATCATGCAGTCTGGGTTGAGCAATGACTTGTTTCGCATCGTTTGTTGGAGACGCCCCTGGTACATTTGCTTGGTTGCCTCCCTCAACTACCCAAGGCATCGGCGGCCTTGCAAAAGATCCCCTATTATCGATGGCAGAAGAGCCGCTTACCCGAGCAGATCGGAGACGCTCGTCTTGTGATTTATCTACAGCGTTACGATTGGATTGAGCTGGATTAGGTTGTGGCATTGGCAGATGCCTCCGAGGCACGCTGGGCTCTGATGGGTGTGTTTGGCGGGGACGAGGTCTCTCGGGCAGAGACAGCTGGAGAGATGACATGCCAGCATCTAGGGGAGAAATGTCTGGTGGAGTTATCCGGCCGTTTGAAGTGGCATAGGGCAGACTATTGAATGATTCTTGGTCGAAGCATGAACCCCCCAGATATCTCGCCCCTGAATCGCTTCCTCTATATGAGGACCCGTATATGTTTGCGTTTGCCATCGGTGCCGTGTTTGGTATGTATCCTGGTGGCTGTTCCAGGTTAAAAGCCTCCACAGGCGAGGCGTCTTCAGGAAACGGAACAGTCCAAGCTGGGGCATATGTTGATTTAGTGTCGAGTGCTGGGTATTGAGAGTATTGAATGGGTATCGCGCGCTGATACAGGGAGTTGTCGCCTCCTGACTGATACACAGGCATCATTTGTTGTGCACCTGCCAGGCTGCTCAAATTGTGGGCCATGTTGATATTATCCATGACTTTATGCACGACATCAGACCCCACCTGCAATTATTAGCGAAAAGTCATGGAATTTCAAAGCCTACTTACCCGATGAAACTGGCAGTTTGTTGATTCTACTCCAGCCGCCCGGCAGTTGAGACAACCAGACCCGTTACCTGGGTCACCGCTGCACCGAATCTTTCTCTTACGGCAACGTGCACACTGTACTCAATATCAGCAATCCGGCATCCCAGAATGTTGCATTGGAAGAGATTTAATAGCTTATTTCAGTCGCATGCGGACCAGATAAGAATGCCCTGTATCAGTACTTGACTTACCGCTACTGCAATACGACGTCTTACAGGGCCAGCTTCTACCATATGGTCCTCTCCACCCAGCATGGCTCGTGTGTGCATGCCGCCAACAGGGTAGCTGCGAGGATTCTCTCGTGTGTTGTGACTAAGTGTTAAAGGAGCATGGCGGTCGTCGTAGATATAGGTCTGGTATGAAATGTTGTGCGATAGGCAAGGACGCTGGCCTTCATACTCCATAAATGACATGGACATGGGTCTTACTGATAGAATTAGCTGAATCGGTGTTGACGGAAATAAGCTTCTCAACTTACCAAAGAAGGAAGTTGACACGTTTGTTCCTTGTAGAGGTATCTTAGGGCTCGTTCAGAGTAGACTGTGGGCTGTGGCTAGATCAGAGCGAATCGGCTGAACTGTCAATGTCTGGAACATGAATGTTGCTCAACGGCAAAGGCGAGATAACCGATGAGCGGGTCATACAACAAACGACTAGAGGGGCGGTTTTTATAGCTTAGAAGAGCAGCAGATCCAGTCTCGGCGACACTGGGATGTAGGGTCAACAGTGTGGCTAGAGAGATGTAGCAGAATCGACGTGGCAGTAGTAATGCGAATGAATCTTTTTCAAACATGGAATTTGAGACTTCAGCGGCCACCGAGTTTTCTAATCTGTTGGATTGCTTGTCGATGTCGACTGCAGGATGACAGCTTTGCGGGAACCTGCATGCATAGTGACCGCTCTGTGAACAGGGGTTATGAAGCACGTATCTCAGAAGAGCACTGTCAAAGCGCCGCGGAGAATGAAAATAGGTGAAACACCGTACGCTGGATTGCGTGTCATTCACAAGCCTAGGGTTCGACGAAACATTCTAACCAAGAGGAATATAGTCGGATAACCTCCGTCTAGGAGCATTATATGAAGACAACTGCGAGGCGTCAATCAGAATCCCAGTGAGGCCAACAACCATCTGTGTACACTAGCAACTGCATAGTATCTCAAAAGGGTTGTCGATTGTTTGTAGACTGCATAGTACCACCGCGGAAGCGGGGCATATAACAAGGAGTTGAGGCCACCTTTACGTAATAATCTTCTAATGAAAGCCTACAAACTTTACTACAGCTGGGAAGGGAATGGATGCCGAAAAGAATGAAGGGGCTAATTCCACAAGGACATTGAGTCGCCGGAACAGATACACGGCGGTGTTGACTGCGCTAGCTTTCAAGGAGCCGGACAAAACACCCAAACTCGACTATTCACCAAAAGGTCAATATTATCATGGCAAACAATGCCTCTTTATCGGAAAGTCTCGGGAAAGACGCTTTGCCGCCAGGGTTGGAGCAGAAACTACACTGATGTGTAATCTGCCTTCAGTATTTGCCCCGTTCTCACCCGACAACCCTCTCTGGTGATCGCCAGAGTTGTGACCATAACTTGGCGATTCAACTTAGTCATGCAAAATACCGGCACTGCGTCTAATAACTTAGGGCTGGGCGGATATACGGGGAACGCCGGCAGGAAACTTCCGGCGGATTCTATGCCCGATTCAGATGGCGATAACTGATACAATCACTCTTATCGAACAACCCTAGCTTTCGTGATCACTACAGCAAAACTTATTTGGACAAAATTACAGATGCGTCTCTGGTGTGGTACATTTTTAATGCAGAACACAGCGGTATTGTGGACTTGGCCTAAGCTGAATCGATGTAGAGTGCTGTGTCGCCGATCGAAAGAGAGCGCATGATGACAAGACATTGACCATGAGATACCATGCTGTTGCTGGAAAGACGAGCGCGTCAATTGTATGGTCTCTCTGGGCGACGGACCAATAAACTGGTAGATTTGTGTGCCAAGAAGCGAGCAAACTTTGATACGCCATGTTTAGAGGCAAGACTTCGCGGTGAGACGATCACTCATCGATCGAAAACGTCGGAGATTTGCTGATTTGGATTCTCTCTGGCCTATGAACCCCTGTTGCACGACGGTGGTAACTTGGACTGTCTACTCGATTTTTTCCTAGTGTCACGGCTGTGGAATGACGAAAAGATTACAAGACTCGTGGGTCTCCCATTGCTGCATATCTCCGGATGAAGCAGTTCTAGAGTCCGGATAAGTAATGTGACGTGACGATGTCCCATCCTTGCAAGAATAGTGTTACTGCGTTTGGAATTGTCCACTATTGTCTCTCGCATAGGTATAGAACCATGTCTATGCTATTAGCAAGACATGTTCACTGTAGGCGAGAAATTTACGAGAGATACTGAGTATGTAGCAGTTTTTGAAAGAAAAGAATTGTTGTGGTAGTGTGCATTACAAAGCTTCAATTAATTAGAGGACGAAAAGAGAGGTACATGATTACCCACATTCAGGATCCAACGGCTACCGGGAAGTGATGACGCGCAGCAAGTGATCGGCTGTCGGTAAACCATGATGATTCTCGTCTAATAGATGCCATTGGAATGACGGATCCGGGGAATTCGGATCGACGCGCATAGTATGCAACCTAGCGGCTTGCCTGTAGCTGGACAAGGATCGCTGAGCACAACAATTAGAAAGCGGGTGACACTCAGCGGGCCACCTCTCACAAGAACCCCACGCCCTTCCTGAAACATCTTAATGCTTTTAGACTGTCTCCCTGGCAGCAGTAACATGGTACATCGCACTCCCGATACTAAAATCGAGCTGTCAGTCTGGCAGTGGCTGCATGTTACGGCTGCATCTAAACACGCTCTTGGAGAGGGTTTGGAATAGTATTATGAATACATTAGCCAATACATCAAAGCATATCAAACATTCTGGAACGCATTGCCCCACAAGGATGAAGTTGAAAGTATGCAAGGTTCAGGTAGTTAGACAAAACAAAACCTTCGTGCCTGGAGCTAGGCTCTTTTGGGCAATACGTCATAGTGACTAAGCAGTCACGCTGTCGCAATCCCGAATCTGTCGCGTTCAACTCCCACCTTTGCGACAAACACTGGTTCTCCGCACAACATAGCCCAAGCCATGTCTGTGCTTCTAGAAACATCACTTGGGGATATCACCATCGACTTGTTGGTGGACGATGCGCCGAGATGTTGTGAAAAGTAAGTCTATCCAATCCCCACGCGTGCCTCGCGTTCTTTGACCTGCATCCTGCATGCTCTATCCCGCTGTCTTCCCAAGCTGAGCACACACAACAGATACTGACAGCCTGTCGCCTTAGCTTCCTTAAGCTATGCAAAGTAAAGTATTACAACTTTGCGCCCGTGCATAGCGTCCAGCCAAATTTCTCTTTCCAAACTGGCGACCCCATTGGCCCTGGTGCCAAAGACAGCGATGGCGGCCGCTCGATATGGGGCCTGCTCGACCCCTCGCAACCCGCAAAGAAGACGTTCGTTCCAGATTTCAATCCAAAGCTCAAGCACACGGAGATGGGCACAGTCAGTATGGCAACAGCACCAAACCCGGACGACCCCGACGAGCGATTTGCTGGTAGCCAATTTATTGTAACACTGGGGCCAAACATTGACTATCTCAATGGCAAGGCTGCCATTTTTGGGACAGTCGTCGAGGGATTTGATACGTTGGAAAAAATCAGCACAGCATATGTCGACGACCAGGGTCAGCCACTCAAAGACATTCGCATATTGCATACCGTCGTTCTCGATGATCCATACGATGACCCCGCTGGCCTCGTTGAGCCACCCGAAAGCCCCGCACCCTCAGCAGCGCAACTTGCTACAGTCCGTGTCGCCTACGATGAGAATCTCGAGGAGGAAAATGATCCAGAAGCGCTTGAAAAGGTTCGTCGAGAACGTGAGGCGCGCGCGCAAGCTCTCACGCTGGAGATGGTTGGCGATCTGCCATTTGCCGAAGTTGCACCGCCTGAAAACGTGCTGTTTGTGTGCAAGTTGAATCCTGTGACGCAAGACGAGGATCTAGAACTCATTTTTTCGCGATTCGGCAAGATTCTCAGTTGTGAAGTCATTAGAGATAAGCGCACAGGTGACAGCCTGCAGTACGCCTTTATCGAATACGCCAATCAGAAAGACTGCGAACAGGCGTATTTCAAGATGGACGGCGTCTTGATCGACGATCACCGCATACATGTCGACTTTTCACAGTCAGTCTCGAAGATTGCAGATGATTGGCGAGACGTGACAAACAAGAAGAGGAGACGAGCTGCTGGTGGATTCGGTGGTATTGACAATCTCGAGAGGAAGAGGCAGTACCGTGACGGTCCTGGGCGCCAGATCATGTCTGACTCGGTCGTCAACAATCTGGTTGCTGATTCGGATCCATCCAAAGACGCAGGGTCGCGGACGCGTGATACCAGCAGAGACGTGCGGAGAGACGACACACGAAGGCGCGAACGAAGAACAGAATACCACGATGATCGCTTCAAGCGCAACCGGAGCCGCAGCCCTAAACGCGACCGTAGAGATGGCGACGATGGCAGATATCATGACCGGAGACGAGAGCGAAGTCGCAGTCCCGACCGAAGGCGTGACAGCCGTCGTGACAGGAGCCGGGATCGCTATCGTCGGGACGATCGTGACCGCGACCGTCGACGATGAGAATTTGTTGTTTCACATGCCTTTTTTCAACGTTCACTTTAACACGCACGCTAGTAAGAGAGTTGGGACTGTAATGTAATATCCAATGTTCCAGATTCCAATAGTTCAGAATATGCATCCTCTGGTGCCACGGACGCCGATACTGCTGTGGCTGATTTCTAAGGCTCAGGGTGGGAATCCTTCGCTCCAAGTGTGCAGACTTGTGTATCGTTGTACTTTTGTTCGAGACTCTGGGTCTGGAATACACTCACTACTTTCACAAACTTTGACATGGTTTATCTTTTTTCCCCAGTCTTATAACGCAATCATTCGCGGCATTGTGATCTACATCAATTCGTCGCTACATTCATCATGTGCACATGCGTTATTGACAACAACACGTGCTAAGACAAATAGGATAATCGAAATCCTCATATCTAGAACTACCTAACCCATATGTGTTTAATCATGTAATAATTAGAACAGAGAGAAAAGCTCGACTACAGGACGAAAAAAAAAGGGTTCAAAAGTCATCCAAGAAAGAAACGCCTGCCACATCCAGCCCTCGCAATGCATATATCCCAACCAAAGAAAAGAACGCCCAAATCCATTAACTTTCCCTCGTTTTCCCAGCCAAAGAAACAGAAACCCAGCGCCGCGCCATGATGCTAATGAATGGGGAAAAACAGAGGACGGAGGGTGAGAAAAAGTGTTTGCCATGATCCAGCCCTTGCTTTCACAAATTCCTTCAATTGACGTCCATACCATCATCTTCTGCCTCCTCAATATCATCCTCTTCACCACCTGTCAGCACGCCCGTGCTACCTAGACTGCGTTTCCGATTGCTCCCATTATACGAACGGCCCGTGATCTGGGATAGGAGATCCAAGTCGTCACCACCGACAATGCGAGCTTCAGGAGTGGCTTCGCAGCTTAACTCGATAAGGCTTGCAGGGCTGAGATTGCGGTAACCGGCGGTGCGGACGACACGGCCAAAGTTTTGCATACAAAAAGTGGCTGCGCGTTGCTTGAGCCATTCTTCGCCGGCTGTGGCGGCACGCTCCCATATTATGGCTGCGTGTTCAATGTCTAGCTCTCGGCCTAGGCGATTGACACAGAGTAGGCGGAGGCGAGGCATGTCGTAAATGTTGGACATGACGAGCATGCCGGCAACATCGTTAAGCGTCGGGCCGTTTTGTGGGTTGGGTGCAATGCTGTCGGTGTAGAGATAGAACAAGAAGGCGCGGACTGCAGAATAGGGTTCGGGGATATGCATCTTTTTCGAATGGAACTCGGCCATCTGTGCATTCCACAAACGCGCAAAATGTGGCCAGCGAGCGTGTAAAATGAGCTTATGAACGTGTATTGGGCGTGAAGTAGGTGCGACAGCAGTCGATGAACCGTTGGAATCAGCTACGGCGATATCGCTGTAGTCATCATCATCGGGATCCGCAGTGATTATAAAATCTGCACCGCTGCCGCTCTCAGGTGGCTGATCGAAAGTCAAGGACAGGTCTGCACCAATCCCACTGAGGTGAGACGAGACGTTGGCGTCGGAAGAAGGCATCATCTTGGAGCGTGTGTCGGAGGCCAGCTCATTACCCAGGATGCCATATTTGCGAAGGTCTATGGCAAGTACGTCGCTGAGATATTCGCCGTTGTGATTTCCATCATTCGCCGACTCAATTGGGCTACCTAGCAGCCAGGCGTGTGTACCTTCAGGATTCATTGTGCAATAGTGCCAGCGGTAATTTGGGCTGTATAAATCTTTTCCTTCGGCTAGCTTCTGCCATCGCAAAGAGTCAAGCTCGAGGCTAGAAAGGCTGGTCTCACAGCTCAGCTCAGCAGGTGTGACGAAGTCCAGCATGCAGCCAGATGAAAAAAGGTGGAAATGTGTGCCCGCCGCTTGTGAGGGCAAGTTCGGGCTGGAATGGAATTTGAGCGAAGATATGGATCCTGGAGCAACGTATGGTGAGCGACTGGAGCTCATTCCATGATAAGACTGAACGCTTGAGTTGGCGGCATAACCTGTACTACCAGTGGCGAGTTGGCCTGAAGCCGGCACGGGATAGCGATGGCGAGATGAGGTGAGCTGTCGATCACCAGTCCCATACTTCATTGCGTGCTCGAATTCGGGGCTCCCTCTCAGATCGAGCCACCAAATCTCATTGTTCTTCTCCATCTCGTCATTGATTCCGCCAAAAATCCAAATGCGGCCATTCCAGATCCAGCTGGCATGGTCGTATCGAGGGACGAACCTCCATGTTCGCGACCAAGTCCATGTCTTCAAGTCCAGGTAGCAGATATCATCCAAGACACTGTCGTGCCCAGTCTGGCCGCCGCTGATATACAGCTTATCATCGTAGATTACTGCAGAGTGTCGAGCGCGACCGCGCGGTATGGGGCCGTTCAATTCCGGTTGTGTCCAATGAGCGGTTTTGAGATCGAAGACAATGACGTCGGCAAGATGTTGGCGATGCTCGTTCTCACCGCCAAACACGAGAAGCTTATTGCCCTGCCAAAGACATGCGGTGTGTCCTATATTGAGATGTGAGACAATGGCTGATGTGGAAGCAAAGGAAGAGAAGCCTACCCATCCGAACGCCTGGGATATCGCCATAGTTGTCGACCAGATTCCATTGCCGGGTAACGAGATTGAGGCGTAGGACGTGGTTGTATACTAGGAAAAAAAGTTAGCACCGAGTCCCCATGCTGCTTGCGCACCCGCAAACCTGCATATGCAAGTTTTTCGGTCCCGAAATTGCCGCTGCAAGTCCAACGCACCTTCGTCTGTGTATTGATCGAAGCCTCCAAAGGCATATATTTGGTCGTCACCAACGTAGGTGACTGAGGCATTGACGAGGCAGGCGGGCTTGGCACCAATGGTTGAGATCATCTTTGGTTTGTAGCCGTCTACGGCTGACCTCCGGCTTCTCACGGGGCTTGCAGACATGAGGAAGGTGTTGTTACTCGATCCGGCGGATCCTGGCGTGGGCGTGTGCGAGTGGGAGAGGGCGGGTGAGGGAGCAGAGGTGGTGGCGGGAGTGAAGGTGGTGGGTGGGAAGGCGGATCGAGAGCCTGGGTGAGCCATGGATAGTGAGTGAGGATTAGTGGATGGTGAGTATGTGGTGAAGGCCCGCGTGGGCAGGAGACGCCTTTGTCCCTACGTAGAGTGCTAGAATGTTTGACCAGGTTGGGTTGGCTAGCCGTGCATACTGCCGCCCGACACCGCCTGCACTGGAAACGGAAGCGCCGACCCACCAAAGACACAACTCAGCCCTGCGACTCACACGGAAGGAACGGCGGCACAGGCAGTCCTTCTCAGCCACAGCACGGGGAGCAGAGCGCAAAACCACAAGGGCAGCGAGGAGAGAGCGTCTGCAGCGCTGCAGGGGGTGGTAATATGTATGTAAGCAGTGCAGACGGGGAGAGGGCAGTGACGGCAATTTAGGGTCGAGATTGGAGGGGATGCATCACAGGCCAGCGGCAAAGCGAGCGGACGACATCACGACATGCACATGCAGAGCAGACCGCCTTGATGTGCAGCAGCCAGGGTGTGCATTTACGGTCATTTCCGCACGCCGTGGCACCGCCGGTCATGTGATGTCATCTGGCCTCCGTTGCCCAGTCGAGCCAGCACAGGGTCTCGCTTGCCGTTGCCTCGTCGACGCAAGCGTAAACAAAGGATACTTAAACGCCTCCCATACCTGCCTTCACACATGTCCACTACCACACACGCTTTACCCACTCTCCTCACTCCTGTATTGCATCTTCAGGCTGCATATCAGTCAATTACTTTCAAATCCATACTTCAAAAGCATCGATTACAGCATTGTATAATACTAATCCTTACAACCACATAACAGTCCCCAAAAGCCCATACTGTAGGACTACCATTCTGGATACGGATGATGAACACCTAGCTAACCCACTAGTCCAGCTCGAGATTAGCAGTCATGGCAACTCCAGCAGTTTGCTTGACTCCAGTCAAGAAGACCTCTTCCGTCTTCAACACCCGCACCGCTGGCGGTCGCATGCCACTGACTCCCTCTCCCCGCACCCCACGAACCCAGACCCCCGATGCCCACACACAAGAGTCTATCCATGGCGGCAACTTCATGGCCCGCCTCCAGCGCTCTGTCACAAAGACTACCCGTGACTCTCCCAAATCCAACATTGCTCGCTCACACACTCCCCGCCGGTTAGAGCTCGGTGTATCAGAATGGTCTCTCTCCGGAACCACCGCTGCTACCAAGGCTGCTACCAAGGCTGCCACCAAGGCAAAGAAGGAGAAGAAGGAAGCCACGACTGTCCGCGCTCGCCCAACCAAGACCCGCATCGCATACAACTCTGCTGATCGTTTCATCCCCAACCGGACGGCTAGCGAGGCCATCCGCAGCACCGGCGCAACCAAGCTTGACAACGAGCAGCGCCCCAAGTCCAGCTCCAAGGTTGAGGGATCAGCAGTACTTGCCAATGCCGCCAGTGCTTTCGATCTTGGTGGACGTGGTTCCGAGGAGGATGTAGCGCTTTCTTTGGAAGGCCTGAGTTTGGAGGACGAGGACGAGGAGAGCCGATCACGATCAAAGCCCACTCCTGGCAAGGCTGCCTACCAGTCTGAACTCGCATCAGCATGCGGCATCAACAACAACACACGCATTCTTGCCTTCAAGCCTGCGCCTCCAGAGTCATCCAAGCCAATCGACCTTCGCTCCCAATACAACCGCCCCCTCAAGCCCGCCAGCAGTGTCAACGCGCAGAGCCGCCGCCGCATTCCATCTGCACCCGAGCGCGTCCTCGATGCCCCTGGTCTTGTTGACGACTACTACCTCAACCTCCTCGACTGGTCCTCTGGCAACCAAGTCGCCATCGGCCTCGAGCGCTCCGTCTACGTGTGGTCAGCCGACACTGGTTCAGTAGCCTCCCTTCTCGAATGCCCCGCCGACACCTACATCTCGTCCGTCAAGTGGTCAGGTGATGGCGCATACGTCGGTGTCGGTCTGGGTACGGGTGAGGTTCAGATCTGGGATGTTGAGGAGCAGACCAAGCTCCGCAGCATGTTCGGCCACGAGACTCGGGTTGGTGTCATGGGCTGGAACAAGCACATCCTGTCCACTGGTGCTCGTTCTGGTCTTGTCTACAATCACGATGTCCGCGTTGCCCAGCACAAGATTGCTGAGCTCGTCTCCCACACTGGTGAGGTCTGCGGTCTTGAGTGGCGTGCCGACGGTGCCCAGCTCGCCACTGGCGCCAACGACAACATGGTCAACATCTGGGATGCACGTGCTCTTGCTGCTCCCAAGTTCACTAAGACCAACCACCGTGCTGCTGTCAAGGCTGTCTCATGGTGCCCATGGCAATCAAACCTTCTTGCCACGGGCGGTGGTTCCAACGACCGTCAAATCTACTTCTGGAACACCACCACTGGTGCGCGCATCAACCACATCCCCACCGACTCCCAGGTCACCAGCCTTCGCTGGAGCACCCACTACAAGGAGATTGTCAGCACTGGTGGATTCCCTGACAACAGCTTGAGCATCTGGAGTTACCCCTCTGGTGTCAAGAACATGGAGGTTCCTGCGCACGAGTCTCGTGTTCTCCACAGCTGTCTAAGCCCCGATGGCCAGATGCTCGCCACTGCTGCTGCCGATGAGTCGCTCAAGTTCTGGAAAATCTTTGAGAAGAAGCCCGGTCAGCCTTCGGTTGCTGCTGCTGGCTCTGCTTCCACAAAGCCCAGCGCTGTGAAGCAGATGACCATCCGGTAAATGCAATACGGCACTAGAAAGTCAGCTTGTGTACCGTGTGCACAAGCAGGAAAAGAGCACTTGGCTCAACACAAATTATAGTATAGCACGGGCATCACAACTACCGGTTTGCGCAATGAAGCTGGTAGCATTCATCCGACTCTACGCGCAACGGTAAGTTGGTAAGTATCACATCTCGGTTTTGGGTATGTGACGCGCTCCTCCTCTCCTTGAGAGAGAAGGATCTCCACATCTATCCTCGGAAATGTTTGTCAATCATACGGCTGGGATCCCAATTCATGGCTTTCTTGTCCAATTTCAGCAAGCGAGGCGTCTCGGAAGCATTTGCAACACGGTGTTTAAGAATTCAGAATTGGCCTTTCGAGCGTCCAATGGACAACGCAAGTTTGATGATTTACGATACCCATTGGGATTCAAGGAACGAACCCACTCAGTCTTATATCCTTCGAGGGAGTTATGTTTGGTTTAGAATATGGCGCGCATTGCGCTTGGGTTGGTTTTATAATGGAGCACGGGAGTCGTCTATGTCTTGAATACAATGAGAAAACATTCGAACATTTCAAAAGTCGTTTGCACTTAGTGTGTCCTGTGAGATGGGATGGTTTTCGACCAGCCTGGCATTGTCGTTCCTCCCATCTAACTTCAATTGGTAAGCTAACCCTCTTTAGGGCAATATGTCGTGCAACAAAGGGCGGCGCCAAGCAGTGACATACCCGACCGAAGAACTAGAGAAAACGATTCATAAATGATAAGTTGGCTGCTTTTGAGACCTGTAAATTCGACACCGGTTTCATCACACACACAAGTCATTCGAAAAAAAGTGAAGTGGTAGTATCATCAATTCGTCTATGGATAATGGAGCTCCATGGATTGAGGTGGGTATCTTTCACACCAAATAACTGACTAAAAAATATGACATTTTATCGTAGCACCACAAATGTAACTGATTAAACAGGGCGCTCGTTTGGCGCTACGCTCGGGCCTTTGTGGGTCTATTGGCCTGAACTGAATTTCGCCTGGTCCACGATAACGAGACCTGCGACGGTCGCACTAGACAAAGTAGAGAAGACACCCGTGATAAGAGCGGAGACAGCAACGCGAGAGACGTCGCCGCTGCGACCTGGGCTGATTTGACTGAGCACACCAATCTGAGTACCGAGCGATCCAACGTTACCGAACCCGCAGAGAGCGTAGGTGGCGATGACGCGAGATCGAGGGGACAGAGTGTGGTATGGTGACTTGGGGTCTTTGTCGACCAAATCGGAGAAAGCAACAAACTCGTTGGTGATGACCTTGACACCAATGAGGCGGCCAACAAGGAGCAGATCGTTGCCCTGGCGAGATACACCGAGGAGGAAAGAGATTGGGTAAAACAGGTAGCCGAGAATCAACTCGAGGGTCAAATCGTAGTCTCCATCAAGGTTAATGTAGCGGCCCCACCAAGTAAGGAGACCATCAATCAGGTTGAGAAGGGCGATGATACACAAGAGTGTGGAGATAATCATGCCGGCAATCTTGAGACCAAGCCAGGCGCCATTAGCAAAGGCATGGAGCGCGTTGGCAGGCTTGTGTTCATCGTCATCGGGAACAACGACTCGGCCGGCAGTAAGAGTCTCTTCGGTTTCGGGATATCGCAGCTTGCTGAAAGCCAGGGAAGCGGGAATGCTCATTACGCAGGAAGAAATCAAAGCCTGAGGATTGAGACCCATACCGATGTAGGCAACCAAGACACTACCAGCGATAGTAGCAAATCCAGAGCACATGACCTGATGGATTTCGGCCATGGTAAGGTGGGCGACAAAGGGCCTGATCAACATGGCGGATTCACCTTGACCAATAAAGGGAGATGCGGAAGCAACCACGGCCTCGGCACCAGATACTCGCATGGACCAGAAGAAAAAGACTGCAAACTTGCCAATGAACCACTGGATGATGCCCCAGTAGAACATGAGCTGGACAAGAGCCACGAAGAAGATGATAGCCGGGATAACGCTGAAGAAGAAGAATTGGTACTTGGAGATTTCTGGAGTGGTCAGGAAGGCGACACCGTCTCTGGCGAAACCCAGCAGCTCGCGAGCAAGCTCAGAGATGAAGTTAAAAATGTCGTATCCAGCCGTGGTGCGGAGAACGAACAAGGCAATGATAAACTGAAGCAGCATACCGACAATGACGGTGTGCCACACAATCTTGTTGCGATGACGCGAAGTAGCCCAGAAAAAGGTGATGAAGACCAAAAGACCAAACAGGGAGACTGCACGGTTGGCACGAGTGTTGTCTTCACTTTCCTCGCTGGCAAAGGATCCAACAATCATGACGGCAACAACGAGAAGAGCAGCTAGCGGCGTGCGCAGCTTCTCTGGGATGAGGTTCGCAAACCGGGTTCCCGTGTTTGTCCAGACCCAGTGCATGGGCTTGGTGACGACGGTGATTGGGATGTGGCAGGTGATCAAGCGGATCATAATTGCGAGCCAGAACAAGAAGGGAATGATCCAGTTCTTGTCATTGCGATGTTCAATCAGACTTGCAATCCACCATCTATGGCCTGTTAGACGGGCGATGCGCGAGACGATTGAAAGACAGAAAATTGGGCCTTACCCGGTGAAAAACGCGCCGATGAAGATGTGAAAAAGCAGCCTGTACTTCTTGTACAGGGATGATGGAGAATACCATTTCTTCCTCTTTTCACCTTCCATATCGGGGTCGGAAGAGCTGCGCGTGGCCTTTTCGACCTCGTAGTCGTAACCACCATTCTTTCCGAGTTCGTGCTTCTCATCAGCGATAGCAGGATGCGAGTGAGCATGGCTGTCTTGAGCGCTGGCGGAGAGGAACTCGCTCGGCTTCTCGTCGGTGGTGCCAGTTGTGTAGACGACATTGTTTGGGTGGGCAGCGCGAGGGCTGTGGTGCACGTGGGGGTGTTGGTGCTCGCGAGCAATGTCTAGTGCCGGGTCGTTGTTGCGCGCAACGCCCTCCTGCGGAGAGGCATTGTGCGGTTCGCGGATATCGGCCATGGCAACGAAACGGCAACAAGGGGGGGGGGGGCAGTTCCCAGCAAGAGGTTGAACAATGAAGAACTGTTGGCTCTCTCTCTCTTTCTCTCAAGCCGGCCAGGACGGGGAATTATATTTTCGCACCGTGGCTCGCGCTACGGCCAAAGTGGAGGGCGATTCGCACCGTCGCCGGCCCAGACAGTGCAAACAGCCATACGGGCGGTCCAAGATGTCACTTGGCAACTGCCTTTTTGGACATGGGCACAGCATAGTATGGCAGGCCTCGATTGGTCTGCCCGCCTGTCTGGGCTTTCCAGAAGGCTATAGTGTGTGGTTGGGAACCGCTTACTCGCTCTTCCCAGTGCTCGCAGTGCCGGCCGCCTTTGCGCGCCTCTGTAACGCTTACCGGGTTCTTATCTGCTCCCCAGCCTTGACAACCCGCGCATTGGCCAATCACGGAGATGAACGTGCTGGGCCATGTCCCTAGCCGTGATAAGCGGCGGCGAATATGCGCCCCTCCTCGGTTGAGCATCTCTTTTCGGCCTCGCATCGACTACTCCCCGCCCAGCCTCTGGCCTTGCAGCACGAACCACCGTCGTCTTCCCCGAGGGACTTCTCCTTGGCTATACCAAAGCAACGGGACTCCGCATGCACCATGCCAAAGGACCAAAAGCACGTGTACACAGGGAACAACAGAAAAAAGAGATAATCTATGCATCACAAAACAGGGACCCAGCCGAAAATCGCCAAGAAGCATTTTTCTTCGACATTTTGTGGCTAATACCCGCTAACTTGTGGCAAACATCCACCCTGCACATGTGCTGACCCACGCACCAACTACTACGTACGGGGCCATGTGACGCAACATGAGAGCCCGTAAACCAACGAGCAGTGAGAGAAAAAAGCATTCGGATTGGTTTTGGCACCGAAACAAAGTTATCTCTCGGCCACACTCGGTACTACAGCAACCGCCGCCATCATCCATCATTCAAGCCATCCCGATAGCCAGGTTGGCACTAAGGTCTTACATGGTGACCTGCAGACACGATTAGTGTTCTTATCACAAGGTTGCGCATTTCGGTATAAGCGCCGAATTGCGGCTTGCGGACTTCGCCTGCAAATGCCTTTTGGACTATTTGTAGTATCTGAAGGAGGGGAGGGGTGAAAGGGTTTCCCGTATTATGTATATGCATGGTAAGACCAGATGATCATCAGAGAGCCGGAGCGAGAGCGAGAGATCCGCGGCGTGTATGTATGGCACTGACTGCACTGCTTCTCCCGCTTTAAGCCCTACTAACCCTTTACCTCTTTTTTTCCCCCGCAGCGGACCCAGAACTTGCTGCTATGGGTTTAATCCCGTTTGGGTGGGTTTGGGTGGGTTTGATAGCCGATTCCATCATTATTAAACATTGCGAATCCCCCCATCTTCAGCAGAAAAAAACTTATTACATCACAGACGTTTGCCGGGACACTCTTGACCCCAAACATTTCGCTTCGTTTCCCTCACCTACTCGATTTGAAGGGGCACTTACGATATGCGGAGGTCGTCGGCTAAACCCCGCAAAACTCGGCCGTTACGTCTCAATCCGGCTCGGGCGGCTTTCCGCGGTTGCTTCACTTACAGTTTACAGTACCTAATAGCCAGCACGCCCCCCTCCAATCCTTCCTTGCAGCCGCATCTTTGGATGCCTGACAGAAGGCATACTAAGAAATCATCAATTCAGTTATCATGCATAGCTTGCGGGTAGGTCAATTGCTCCATTTTAGCATCACGCCCCCATGATGCCCAAATTGAGCGGGGACCAACGAGCTGAGTCGGTCCATAAACTACCCAATACTCTACGTATGCGTATGTCCATCTAGTCTCTCACCAGACTACTGTACACACCCGCCCGATCTCGTGCTTCGTATCCCCCCATTGACCTAGTCTCCGCACCCCCCTCCCCTTTATTTCCCAAAAGCTTGGTATTTGAGGGGAGGAGGGGACGGATCCACATGGTGAGGTCTCGGCACGGGGTAAGTAATGGGTTAGACGGCTGGAAAGTTTTCCATGTGACTGAGCAATGTGTATTCCACACTTTCTTCGTATCTGCAATTGGAATTGATAGATGAGGAGTTGGTGAATTGTTGACACCGTGTTGATTTGGGTATGCAAAGATGAGGTGATGGAGCTCAGGCAGTGAAATCTCACAACTGTTGAGGCACATATTTCGTTTTGTTGTTATTTTTCTTTTGCGCGCGTAGACAAACGAAGGATGAGCTGAGAGAGCGGGGACCCCGAATCTAACGCTGTTTGTTTGTTTTTCAAAATCAGGCACAGGTACGGCTGTGCGAACTGGCTTTTTCCAGCGAGGCCACTCTGGATTCGTCGCACCGGAGATTACTTAGATAAGTAGTCGAACGTTCAGAATCACTAGTCACCCAGCAACACATAATATGCGTAAAGGGGTCATAGACATGGCTATTTCCTGCACCTCAAGACACAAAAACATAGTACGATGGAATAGTATACGACAGGGGGGTATATACAAGCCGAGTCAATCTACAACACCCATACGCCGTACACCATACCCAATGCCGCTGAAAGTAATACACAACATATCCCCCATCTTTTGCTCCTCCAACTCCTGTAAACGACTGATAAAAGAAGACCGTTCCCATTCAAACGACCAACTGCCCCCTCTCACTTGCCCGTCATTTCCCCTTCCAAATGCTGCGGACACGTTAGCAACCATGCCATCACTTCAAACAGGGACATAAAAGGTAAAAACGTACCGACCACTCCGGTATATCACGTATACGCTGCCACATGTACCTCTCGAGTCGATTCGCAGCTTTAGCATACGGCGTGCTCTCATTGTTATACTTACGACAATTATCAAAGATAAGCTTAGCATCTCTGATAAAATCTTCCGGGTTGGGATAGAGGTCCTTTTCATGCTTCTCCTCCATGGTAGCAAGGTCCATGGGCTCCTTGATGACGTCGTAGTAATCCAGGACCTCGTCTTTGTTGACGGGTTGTTGAAAGGGCCAGGCGTTGCTGTTGTTCTGCATGTCGTTGAGGAGGTGGAGGAGGGCGTTGTAGTTGGGGCCGTGGCGGGGGGCGCGGGCGAGTTCGTCCATGACGGGGGACCAGCCGGAGTCTTTGATGGCAAGGATGGTGAGGGGGTCGATGGGTTTGAGTTCCCCCTTTGTCCATTGGGCTGGTGGCGAATGGATCTCGTAGCTCTTGCTTACTGCCATTATTTTGGCGTTTGCGCATTCTTTTTGCTTGAGCAGCATTCGGCCGGATTCGAGGTAGCGGATCTTTGGGACCATGCTGCATTGCATAATGGTGCCGCCTTCGTAGTCCTTGATGTAGCCCATCCATCGCGACTTTTCCAGTGTAATTTCCTTGGTGAAGCCCTGTTTCTTGAAGTATCCAATAGCGTAGTTGTCGGCGTAGGTGAGAAAGTGCATGACTTTGGATGTGGCTTTGACATAGTCCTTCAAATGCGACATGAGATGGGCACCATAGCCTTTGACTTGCTGGTCCGATGAGATGGCGCAAAAGACGATTTCGGCGAACTGGCCCTTGTCAAAGGGGCGGTAGGTTATGCCTCTGTGGTGCATGATAGTCAGCGTTTGGCACTACACGAATGGGAAGCAACAGGTGGCCACGCACCCTACCACTTCAAGTGGGTGTTTCACAATAGCTATACTCAAGTGCGTTCGGTCGTAGACGAGACGAGCAATGTAGTCCTTGGGCATCTTGGGCAACTGCTTCTGGAAGATACACTTCAAGCCCGTCAAGATGATTGTGCTTTCCCGCCGGCCGTCATTGTTGACGACTCTGAACTCAATCTCGCCATTGCGCTCCTCGATAACAGCAGGCTTCTCTGGAAAGGGCACTATCCTTTTGACTGGGGGCGCGGGGGCGTCGTCGGTCTGTTCAGGTGTAGGTGGGCTATGCTTTATGCGCTTCGGGGAGGCGTTGGGAGGATCGGTGGTCGCTTTGCGCTTGGCTGGATGGGACGAGGGGTCAGCTTTTTGCAGGTTCAAAGGTACATCCGGAGAAGAGTCACGTGCAGCGAGAGTGGGTATGGGGAGTGTCGAAGACGGGGGAGAGGTGGGATAGCCCAAGAGGTCGCGCAGATGTGGGATGTTGTTGCGGGGAGACGGCATACTAGGTGCGCGACAGGCGTGCAGGGCCGAGGGAGCGTGGACGAGGGGGACTTAGAGGGTGAAGAAGCTGCGCACTTACTATCTTCAGTTGCGCCCGCCATGATGTGGTGTTGAGCGCCTTCTTTGGTGTTGGGGCGCCTTCTCGTGTCTAGTCGCGCCTTCCGTTGCCCTGGTGGTTGACTGAACAAACGTCAGGGCAAGTCGCGCCTTCCGCATTGACCGATAGGCCGACAACCAATCACAGCACGCGGCGGCCACAGAACACCGCCGTCCAGAGGCCACGGCAGCAGCTTCACGAGAGACTCCCGAATCAACTTCCAATTGCCAATACTGCACAAATGTCGAGCCCGCTTCTAGACGTCTGGGAGGCTGCTGCTTCCCAGCCCTTTCACCCTACCATCGGAAAGGATACGCAATTCACTGTCGGCTTCGTACTGCTGGCTGCATGTATGTTGCGCTCCGGACCCTTCTGGTGCTCGCATAGAGCTATACTAACAGTATGCGTAGCCCTCGTCCTGACCACCATCTTTGGCTTGAGTATGCACAATACGTCCGCTCTTGTATTCACCCCGCGGTCACTCACACGTATCCTTACAGACCGATCGCTCGTCAATCTGCCAATTCTCGGAGTTCCGGCATCACTAGCATTCGGGTACGTGGCCTCCAGTATCGATACGCCTCTCCCGTACTGACCGCGAGCAGCTTCGGCGCTGTATACATGATTTGCGCAGTCGGCGTATACGTCTAGTTTTCGTGTTATATCCATTCGGCGTTGGGAAGGGACCTCTTATGTGTACAATTTATGGAATACCAATAAAAAGTTCAAGACGCTCGAATCTGCATGCGTCATACACTATTACACCATCGTTTCGACCATAGCTTTACCACCCCCCATAACTATTCCCTCAGGTACAATCACACTACAGTAGAATGGATGACCAAGACCAGCCCGTTCTCACGGCCGTGTCGAGTTCAGCGCGTCAGCTGTACCAGCTACTGCGATGCATCACCTTTTCCAACAAAGCGCACGTCCAGATTAGCGACATAGGCCTCAAACTTGCCGTCGATGAAGCAAGCGTCATGGAAGGTACGTATGCATGTGCCCATTCATCTGCACCTTTTCCAAACTAACCACAGAACAGCGTCCGCCTTCCTTGACAAGTCCCTCTTCACAACCTACACCTTCAACGATTCTGATGATGCGTCCGAACCGACACCCGTCTTCCAAATATCGCTGCCTGCCCTTCTCGAGACACTCCAAATATTCGGCCTCACTGACCCCGCCAATTCCAAACCACCATGGGCCCGCGACGCGCCTTACCCCACCAGCACTGCCTTTACGGGCAACAACATAATGAATGGCATGAACAACATGTGTCGCATTAGTTATCAAGGCAAAGGTTCTCCGCTAGCAGTCACATTGACGGAACTGAGTATACGTACCCAATGCGATTTGACAACCTACAAGCCTGAACACGCCGACGAAATCCCCTTTGATCGCGATGCCCTTGTGCTCAAGGTCATCATGCGAGGCAGCTGGCTTTACGACGCGATCCAAGAACTATCCTCTACGAGCCCAGAAAAGTTGACCATGTACGCCAAAACTGTACGTGGAAAGCCCTTCTTCGCCCTCTCATCATCAGGTACACTGGGCTCTGCGCGCGTCGAGTTTAACAACCAACCTCAACCCTCTGCATATCGCACTCCAGCATCCACAAACCTCAACGCGAGTAGTGATACAGCCGCAGCTCCTCCAACAAATCTTCTTGAGAGGTTCCAGCTCAGCGATCCCGACACAGTCTTTCGCTCAAGCTACAAGTTCAGCTTGATACAAAAGGCCGCCCGTGCAATGAGCGTAGCCAGCAAAGTCAGCATACGTGCAGATACACAGGGTGTGCTGAGTCTGCAATTCATGATCGAAGTCGAGAGCCCCGCTCCTGGTCCGGGTGCCGGTGGTGCAGGATCACTTGCAGCTGGCAAAAACGGCTTTGTAGATTTTCGCTTTGTGCCTCTTGTCGATGAAGACGACGACGAGGTGGAGGCGGGACACATTGACGACACGATAATGCAGAACGCATCTGCGGGTGATGAAACAAGTGACGACGATACGCTTTAATGGACATGGGGAATGCATCACCAAATATAACAAGAATCTAGTCTTGAGTACATGCTCATTTTGGATTTCTCTATAGTTGCTAGTCTCTCTGTGTCGGATTCAGTAGCTACATGTTGTACCCATAGCAAACTGGATAGAGCAAGCCCCCGAGAAAAAAGACCCCAGTGCACGACTTTGACCTCATGTCTCAACCCCCCTCATCCGAAACCAGTTGTAGAGTTGATGAATCAATTACTGGACTGCAATATCGTCCCAAGACCCTCTCCTTGCTCTTCATCCATCTCCCATTTAGCACACTAGAACTCAAGCAATGAAACCAGAACTAGAAAATGGATGTCCACCCATGGGACATTCATACCGAAAAAAATGAAATGAAAAGAGAGCCAACGACGCCTGTGCTGTGAGATTGCGGGGAGCCAGCCAGATGGAACTTGCTCTTCATCTTCTTCTATTCATCGCTTTTGGTACTAATTCCGCTCTCCTCAATCGAAAAATTGGAAAAGCAAAAAGATGTCAATTTGTGAAACGCAATCGATGAACCGGGTAGTAAAAGTTGGGGTTTGCTGTTCCCAACATTCGAACTAAATTTTCTTTCTTTTTCTTTCTTTCCTGTGAAGATAATTTTTGTTTATGTGTATACGCGTGTTTTCGCGGAATAATCTGAAAAAAAACAGGTTTGATCGGGCGGGGTGAAAATAAGGAATCCATTCTGAGTATGTTTATCGCCATTCAGGCTACCGGGCGTTTGTTCTTTGAGGACGCCAGAATAACAGTCGTTGGGAAAGAAAACGAAGAGAGAGTAATGGAAAGTCGATTCATGTCTTGGTAGTGTACAAATGGTAGTTGTCCATGTTGTGTCAGGGGGCTTTTTGCGTCTTGGGTAGGGACGTGTGCTGTGCCGTTTGTGTGCGGGCTGAAGGAAGGGGACTTCAGAACTCGAGTTCAGCTACCACGGGTATTAGTGTGGTTTGCTGATGGTTTTTTATCTACCATTCAAATTCACCATTTGCCTTGTGGAATAGATACCTATCACCTGTCAGTATGCTTGCAACGGGTAAGCAAGTTTCTGCAGGGACTAGACTTACTCCTTCTTGTTCGTGGTGAGGATGCCGTCCTTGAGAGTGCACTTCCACTTGTTCTTGACACGCTGGACCTTGTCATAGGTGCACAGCATGTAGTCTACCATATCATCGTCGCTATTGTCACCGTCATTCAGCTCGTCCTCTGAATCGTCGAGGTCAGAGTTGATGGCATCGTCGGGATCCTCCTCCAGCTTGACGTCGTCATCGCCGTCAAAGCGAGCAGGCGGGGGGACACTGGTTGAAGCTGCAGCATCCTCGGCTCGTAGGACACGAACAGCAGCCTTTCGCTTCTTGCCTTTCGGCATCGAGTCCAGAGGCACCATCAGACCACTATCCTGGCGCATCGCCATGGCATCAACACGAGCACGCATAAAGTCGTCGGCAGCCATGCGCTCTACAGCTGAAGCAGCACGCGCAGCCTTGAACGCCTCCCAGTCTGCCAGAGCATCGTCTGGGCCATCCGTCTGCGACGGGTACATCTGGGTTTGATGCGGCGGTCGTTGCTGCTGCATTTGCTGTTGTTGCGTTTGCTGGTGCGGCATTTGCTGTTGCTGTTGCTGATGATGATGCTGCTGCTGTTGAGGGGCCATCATGCGCTGCTGCTGACCTTGCATTGGCATCTGGGGCAAATGGCCCTGTTGAGGCATGTTGGGATAGTTTTGCTGGTGTACATTGCCTTGCTGCTGCACGCGTTGCTGGATCAGAGCAGCAGCCCGCTGTTGCGCCAACTGTGAATTTTGGTCATAACCGCCATTGTATCCATTGGTCGCAGGTTGGGCCTGTGGGTAGTTGGGAATAGGTTGCTGGTAGCCCCCCTCCGCGTTTACTGGCCCAGAGGACGGTGGGATCTCATTATCGACCTTAACGTTAGAGGGCACCGTAGGCGGCTGGCGGACAGGCTCTGGGGCGGGGTCCCATGGCAGATGGGCAATCTTGAGCGCCGACAATCTCTCTTGCCAACCCTATGCATGGTTAGTGGCTGCTGGTAATAAAGGCATGGTTGAAGGCAGAGTGCTTAGAGGGCCGTCACATGATGAGCTATGACGGTTCGGGAAAGGATGTACGAAGCTTGGCGGGTGGGGGAGCTGTGCAGGGGCTATAAGAAGGCGACCCAAATACTGAGTCGCCCCCGAAAGCTGCCAGACCGACCGGCAACTCAGCCCCGCTTTCAGCCGCCCATCACCCCCCAAAGCCAGGCAGCCATCGCGCCATTGTCGCAGCGAGCGGAAGAAACGATGCGACCAGATATCCGATAAAGATCAACTGGGGGGAAACCATGGACGCCGTGGCGTAGGGACAAAGGCGCGATGGCTGCCATGCTGCGACCGAGGCAAGGAAAGGCGCGACAGCCAAGATACTGGCCAGGTTGCAACATACCTGCTTCATCTCTTCCAGAGTGCTTTGGTCGACGCCAGACTCCTCAAAGTCGTTCTGGGACGCCTGTATCACTTTCTCCATGATCTGTTGGTAGACTCCGCCCTGGTGGTCGCTGTTAGCAAGCCTGCCTTTACCCTCGCACCATTCGCTCGCGCGCGCACGCGTGCATCGTCCAGGGAATACTAACCACGACCGAGTTCGACATGGCGGCGGTTGCTTGCTATGTCTCAGCTATCTAGTATAATCTTTGGGCTCTGTGGACGCTTGGACAAGAGGTCGCGAAGGCTTGCAGGAACCAGGCAGGCGACGTCAGCGCTTGAGGCTGCAAATAGGTGCGCACGCTCGAGGAAGCTTCTGCGCTATTAGAGGTGATCTATGGCTATCGTTTGCCCAGACGGAAGCCTTTATACGACGTGATCGGGTGCCCTCAGCTTTCGTGGTCGTGGGGTGTATGAGTGATAGTGAACGGTGCCCCGGCAATCGCTGAGGGCGCGATTCCTTAGCGCCCTAAGCTACTCTAGCGCCGCACGTGACCTTGCCTTCAGCTACTCTTACCTTAATCTACATACTCATTGCAATTGCAAAACCAACGCCAGGCAATTGCGATGGCTGGATCTGAACACAATCGGGCAGCGATAGTAATGCACATATTCACACAAGCACACAAACATTTATATTGCTATCTGCCACCATGCAATCAAGTTTTCTTCCGAGCGCGCCCCTAATGATGCCACCGAAGAAGTAAATCTAAGCTCATTTGTTTCGTGTGTGAGCCCCTGTCCTGTAGCAGTACTGATCATCAACTCTCTTTGATCAAAGCCTCCCGTACCGCCCGGTCAACGTCTTTCCGCCTAAATCCTGGCGTGCGACCAAGACAAACTGCATTCTTGACTATCTCTGTTGCAATCGTTAGCCAAACAATTTACCCACGTTTGGTGCATTGTATCACAATCCAGAAGAAAAACAAGGCATCATGTATACTTACCAAAAATCAGCCGCGAGACGTCAATCCACGCGCATCTCTTCCTCTGCTTCACCACTTGCAGGCCCTCCAAATCGTCGCCCATGGCGCATAGCCCTGGTCCAGTACCAAAACTTGTGTTATTCGCGAAGCCGTAGTCGAATCCAGGCGCGAGATCCAGTCCTAGCGTCTGATCAAATGAAATGTCGTGGTTGACAAGCTGAGTGAAATCCCCAGCATACTTGGGCGCCGGGGTGCCGCCAAAGGACGTATTCATGCCGAACCCATTGTTCACGGTAGCTCCTCCGTTCGTTTGTGCCTGTTGTGGCATATTGGCGTACGAGTTTGTTGGACCTTCGTCTTCGATATCGATCAAGCACTCCGCAAACGAACTTGAGGGGTTGAACTTGCACGCATAGTGCTCCTCCAAATATCCCTGCACATCATGGGCATCAAACCATTCGCCTTCGAAACCAGTAAGGTCCACTGCACGTAGGTACTGAGCTGCCCTGCCTTCTACATTCCCCCACCCTTCCAATCTTTTCTCTCTCGGCCCGATCCACTCTTGTGCCCAGGAATCCTTTCTTGGTACGATGTTGCCTGCTGCATCTCGTCGCGGATAGTGGGTCCCTGCACCTCCAAGGGGGGCGAAAGGCGCCTCAAACCAGTCCAGATCCTCAATAACCGTCTTCGACATGACTTGTTGGAAACGTTGCTTTATCTGATCGACATTGTAGTGTGGAAAGTTAAGTCTAAAGATATAGTTGATAATCTAAACCTCACAGTTAGTTCAATGGAGAAATAGGTGATGATAGAAGGCTGACGCAAGAGCCTACAGCAACTCAACTAGCCAGCATATGATCCGCATACGTACCGCAGGTGAATAATTGAGATGATTAAGCACGGCGAATCCTGTCTCTACTGCTGCTCTGGCTAGCCTCCTGCCCACAGTCGATTCGTTATGGTTGTACGTCCACACGGGACTCAGGGTCTTCATCGATAGATCTGAGGCCGACAGAGAGGCTGTCGGTAAGCTGGTTGTTCCAGGAGCCATACCAGATGCTGACATGTTGGCGGGGTAGGTATGGAAGTTTGATGTTTCGTACGGTGTCTGCTGTTGGTCATGGACAGGAACCAGGCCAAACGGCAATTCCTGTTGTGATGCTATACCAGCAGGTAATGATTCGGACGGAGGCTGTGAGACGTGATGGGTCTGTCCCGATTGCTCGCCAAAAACATATTGACTGTGACTGATGATGCTGGGAGCCGATTGGTCGCCTATAGTACTGAAGTGTGAAGAGTAACTGTCTGGCATCAGAAAGTTTTGTGGCGACTGATCCTGAACAACACCGTTAGCCAGGCTACGGATATTGCAAGGGGGTGTAGAATCATAGCCGATCGCGAAGTTTTCGTCATGAGCTCTACATACCTTGTTGGGCGGCTGCGAGACAGCAAAGTACCCCCAACCAACATGCTTAGGTTCAGGTTCAGGTTCAGGTTCAGGTGGTTTGTGCGGGCCTGTTCCTTCAGCTCCTTGCTCGACATCCTCGTCTACTTGACGTTGGGTCTCACTCGCTGTTCTAACCAAACTCGAAAACGTCTCATTAACAAGTTTGAATTCTTGGTCTAGATCAGGATTCAGCTGTAACAAGCCCGATCTCAGCGTTGATTCAGTGAGCCGATGAAAACTGCTGTTCATCTGCTCAATAATAGAATGTAGCTGCGTTGTTTGCTTTTTTAATGAGGCGATAGTGGTCTCTTTCCGCTGGCGGTATGCGCGCTGGGCGAGTCGAATTTGCGTTCTTCGCCGCTAGCACCTTTGTCAGTGACAATATGCAAATGAATTGCCTTTGAGCAAAAAGAAAAAGCTCGTGGTAAGATGACCTTCAACCAGCGGCTTTCAAAATCGACAGATGGTCCGCAACCAAGCAGCAGAGGCTCGAACACGCAGGTCTGAGATCCTTATTTGCATCAACAGCTCGAGATCTTCAGTCGCAAGCGTTGATGCGCTCCTTGAACCAGCCCTCGTTGCACAGTCCATATCAGTTCGCGGTAAAGGGGAGAGTATCCACTCACATCCGCTGCCGTGGCATCCTGGGTATCCACACGGGGCCGTCCCCTTGTCTTCTTTCCAGCCCCGTTGTCACCACTGTTGCTTGTGCGCGAGCGTTTTCGCGACTGTTGCGCATGTTCTTCTGACTCAGAGCTCGTCATGATTTCCTACTCTCGTTCTCGCGATAATGCGAAGTGAACAGAAATCCAGAGGTGAGGATACGACAGGGTCGCTCTGGCCACTGACGTGCAAGCCCGGTGCGGAAGCGGGCTTAGCCGATATTGCCGTATCGTAATCAACCCCAGTATCTACCACGTGACGGGCAAACAATGATTTTGTGACAACGTAGGTGATTTTGGATAAAGGTAATCTCAGCACGATGGAGAGTGCTTGTAATGACAGGAGACGGTTGTGGTAGACAGATAAATAACCAGTTGTTGGAATCCTTTGCCTTAGGGTTCACGCGTGGCGCCGGCCAGCCAGCTTCCTTCAAAAAGCAAAGGTGGTCCCGAATGCCGCCGGTGCAGCGGAAGTAGCGGAGAATGTTCAAGGCTGATCAACGGCCCGTCGCCTCACTGTCCTGACGCATGCCTTTTCTGCACGCTGACCAAGCGGCTGCTGTGTGATTCCTGATGCAGTCGGCGATTGCATATACGAGGCAATGTTTTCGCCAAGGGGTCCGTGTCGTCCCTTGATCGAGCTAGGAAAGCAATGTACTTCAGGTACGCTTACACTTTGCTGACCACCAGGTTCTGAAACTGGAGGTGCCAGGTCGATAAAGTTGAACTTCAAGTCGTCGTATATGGGTTGGTGTTGGTCGAAGAAGTTGCAAACGCGATTAATACTGAACGGTGAATCCCCGCTTTGCACAGGCCAAGCCTGCTCACGTGGACCAGCGATGTCAATGTGCACCGAGTATTCCAAGAATGCCATGCTTCTGCTCCGAAATTAGAAGGGCTATGTGGCAGATATCGATCTTCTAGGATCAAGTAGCGTCCCCCGCTTGAAACTAGGTTCATGAGGCTTGCTACCCGAAGATGTATGTGAGGGCCCAACCTTGTGCTTTGACACGATGAGCACAGCCCCATCTCAGAAATTTCAAGGAGGTTGATTCAGCATGTATCCTGGCATTTTTTGTGGATCATAAGCAGTCATATACTTAGCTCGATTAGCGATTAGCATAGCCCAAACACAGCATTATTTCCACGACCTGTAATTCTTCCGAGCCAACACAACTAGATGCAGTCTCTTCTATGACCCCTGAACACTGTCCTGTCCAAATGAACAACCTTTAGAGTGTCGAACCATGACTTCAGCTCTGGCTACGCCAATGAATGACAGGCCCATGTCTGAATGGAGGGTCCTATTGGTTCAAGCCTTGGCAAGAGCTTCTTCCGTCGATCCTGCAGCGGTCGAGACCCTCCCGGTCCCACCATCTCCACTATTAGCCTGCTCGTCGTTTTGGTACTTGTTGCGTACAGACTGTGGAGAGCAATCTCTGCATGTTTGTGAGCTTGAAGTATCTTTAGAGCCGGCGATGCCTTCGCTTTGCAAGGACTTGTCGTCTTTCTCAGCATCGCCCAGCGATGCGTCTTGACTAGGATCATCCGCTATCGAGATGGCACTATTCTGTCGTTCTCTATTGAGCACAGTGGAATGGTCTTCATCGATGCGCTTTTCGCCTTTGTCTTCGTTATCGATCCACTTCTGCAATCCTTCGTCTGTTGGTTTGAAGAAACACCACATCTCATCCGAAGTCGTGTATCCTTCGTCTGCACTTTCCCGAAAGTTGCGCTTGAACTTTCTCTGAAACCCCGAAGCAAGGCGTTTCTTGAACGTATTATCCACACGCAAACGGGCCGCTATCCATTCATCATCTGGTCGATTGTCGTTCGGTGTCTCTTCCATCAATGGTGTTTGAAGTATATGCTCGTCAGTCATGCAACGATTTATAATGTATTTTCCTCCGCCACTGTCAGGCGTCACGAGCCGTAGGAATTCGAGACTTGTTCCCACATTGAGATCAATAGCTCTTTCTGGATTGACGGTAGCCTTCATAAAAAAGGATGTCAGATGTCTGTATAAGATTGAGAAGTCGCTTTGGTTGATATGTACAGAGCCTCGGACCGTCAGCAAATATGCTGGTGCTCCATGTTCACTGGCCTCTTTCATGAGAGACATTGATGCATTCCAGTTCTTCTCCCAGTACATGAATGCTTCGCTAGCAATACCAAGCAGTGGAAGGTGTATTCGATGTTTAGGATCGTCCGACGGTGGCTTGATAGGAGCACTATGGCTGTATTAGCAGCACTCTTTGAATATGGGATAGGAGGAAACATGCCCCCAGATGTCATAGATGACGCCGGCCTGCACATTTGTGAATCGATTTGTATGTCTGAGGACTTCGGCCACAGTCGCCGCTCCAAAGCTATGA